ACTAGCCCCTAGATTAAATTTCCTTTACCATCGTCAGAGCCCGTATTTCTACTACCTATATTAAGGTGGCATTTAAATATTTTTTTTTAATTGTTATGGGATTTTTTTTAACTGTCGGTGAAACAGAAACTGTCCCCTAACCATGCTTAGGGGATCCCTTGAACTTTGGTGATCCCTTGAACTTAGGTGACGTTGGTGAAATCAGCTATAAGTCAGTTCTGCGACTTGCTTGCGAAAAGGATATGTGTTCACCATCAATAAAAAGCACAAAATTTGATTAATTGAATTCTATAAACATTTCCAAGCCGACGAAGATTGACGAGCCTAAATACGTGTTATGAATTTTTAAATTTAAAAATTATATCGTATGTTTATCGTATTGGGTAGGTATCTATTTATTAAACAGCTGCCCAACATCTGTGTAGTTAGTATTAATCGGTAAGCGAAATATATAAAAAAAGACACTAAAATACATATGTATAAACAATATTTTTAATCGTTTAGTCGGTATGTATCTAAACGGTAACGGCAATGGATTTTGTGTTATGAGAATTATTTTTTATTTGATATTTTACATTTTTTGTTTTTTTATCTTATATCATAATATGATGTAGTTTAAAAAAATTGTCATTCTCATTAATACTTACTTACAAAGACCATCAATTGGATGATGTCATTTAGCAACAGCCCGCAACACATAAAAGGATATGAAGTTCTATCTTATACATATCTTACTTTTTAGTACCTTTGACTTACACATTACATACTAATTAAATAGTAAATACTCAGGTACTTCTATCGCTATTGTCTTCACAATTTTTGTAAAATTTTGAAATAAAGTTGCATCCATTTTCTAAGTGTACTATAGATTAAACAACAATAAGCTGGTATTAATTGTGACTCCTATTTCAAATTTCGCACTGGACTAATGATCACTACTGATTATAATAAAAACGTTTGGTCTTTAGTTCAAGTGCACAAAAATATCACGCATTATCGAAATGTCTTTTCAACTGTAATTTATGGTACGTATAGTAATTTCTATTCTTAAAAAAAACGTAGAAAAATATTCCACGCTGCGCTTCATGGTTTTTTTTTTCTAAAAGCCTTTTGGAATACTGTTCTAAATTAAATGCCATGATGGCCATTGTACTTTCCGCGATTGCGCTTAGGTAATATAAACTAAGATGAGATGTGCCAAATATAAAAGATTTGTAAGAACTCTTTAAGTCGAGCATAAAGCTATTTATAATAGTAATTGATGACAATTGATAATATTGTGTGAATTCGCCCTTAGGCATCGAACGTTATTACGAAGCGTCGCCGGTCACGCATGGCGACGGACCTTCGCCGATTATAGCGGTGACGACATCGCCCACTCCCGGCACGATCCTATTCCAGTTGTTCGCCACAAATTGTGTTTTTTCTACGAGATCCATTTTATTCATCATGAACCAAAAAATAACAACAGAAATATAAGTAATGTTTAAAAAGCCGGCTGGCTGTAAGTGCTTCTAACAAAACTATGTACTTATTACTTTAGTTTAGACTATTAAAATACCGACTTATTTTCTTATGCCAAATCTTACTTCCTACTAATATTATAAATGCGAAAGTTTATGAGGATGTATGGATGTCTGGATGTCCAGAGTCCAGACGTATGGATGTTTCACGAAGATTGTGACTCTTTCACGAAAAAACTACTGAATAGATTTTAATAAAACTTTACAATAATATATCTCATACATCAGAATAAAATATAGGTTACTTTTTATCCCGGAAAAATGTACGGTTCCCGTGGGATAGATTTGTTTTTGTTTATTTAGTAATATTATATTTCTCTGTTAAAATCTTTTTGTCAAATAGAAATAACATATAACTGATGATTTTAGATAAACACTTTAAAAATTATATGTCGTGGCCCCGCGCCGGTGCAAAGTGGTAAAGTGCAGGGGTACTGACGTAATGACGACAATTTTGTATTTTATATTTTGTTTTCGTTATTTTTAACAGTTAGCTCAATATATCTACACCAATAATGCGAGGGAATGGACGTCGCGTCTTTTTTTAAAAATCAGCTAGTTTTACAGATATGCAGTAAACGTTATCATACAATATTATTCATATATATGTTCGTAAATATTATCTTTATATATATAATTCTTCTGTGAGTGTGTATGTCACTGAACTTCTCTCAAACGACTGGACCGATTTTGATGAAATTTTTTGTGTGTGTTCAAGGGGATCTGGGAATGGTTTAGATTCACAATTTGAATAATAATTTTCATCAAAAAAAATATTAAAAAAAGTTTGAAATTTTAAAATTAAAGACGTGTAGACAGGACAACGTCTGTCGGGTCCGCTAGTTCATATATATGTTCGTAATACATAGAGACGAATTAATTCAATTTTATTGCTGTAGTGAGCTTTTAATGCTACTCGTTGCTAGTACAGGTATCTCAGTGTAGGTCACGACAAATGCTGAATTTACTAACTTAACCGGTTAAGAGCTGCGAAGTTCTTTGAATGTAGACTAATTTATATATAAAACTAGCAACTCGCCTTCGCTCCGCTCGGGGTTCGTACCTAGGTACGTTTTAACGGTTAGTATAGATTTCTCAGAGATGAGTTATTTTCGCACAGTAAAAAGTTCTATAAGTTGACCCGGATAACCAGCTATCATCGTACTAAATTTCATCAAAACCTGTTCAGTGGTTTATTGTGATGCCTTCCCAGACAGACACAAAAATTCTAAAAAATATAGAATCTGAGAACATCGATAATAAATAATGAATGATGCATCTACATGATACTCAATAAGAATATAGTAGGTATCTACTTACTGAAGAAAATGGCATAGCAGAAAATGCAGACATACATACTGGTTAGAGAATGCGAATCAGGACGTACTTATTATTATGGTTAAAATGTTCACAACTTTTGAGTTATGACAATATAAGCGATCTGCAGGTTTCAAAATTAGCATTTTACGAGGAAATCGCTATGGTGTGTGCATGACCCCATGAATAGGTATTATCTTTGACCTATAGTTTTATCGCGTGATGTCCATCAGCAGTAAATGACACCTGACACGCCATTTGGCAATATTAAAACAGTGAATACTTTACAATGATCCAGTACGTATGTATTGTCTTAATACCGCGTAGTACCATATACTGAATTAGTTGCATAGTTTCAAATATTTCAACACTAGCGGCTCCCTCTCGCTTCGCTCGTGTTCGCCTGTAAAAAAACATCGAACTCACGGGAACTGTACATTTTTCCGAGATAAAAAGTAGCTTATGTGCTACAGACTGTAGGTTATCTATCTCTGTGCCAAATTTCATCCAAATCCGTTCAGCCGTTCTGGCGTGATTAACAAACATTAATCTAAACTTTTACGTTTATAATATTAGTATAGATTTCGTCAGAATTCGGCATAAAACTGCCTGAAATTTTATTTTCGCTCTATGGATGTAATTTTGGGGGATGCCCATCGTATAGACACTTGCGCATACATTAAAAAGTTTGCAAAAGTAGCGCAATGAAAATAATTATTGCGGGTGTACCTTAGGAGGTAGATTTACAATTTTCTAGTACATTGATTTATTGTATAGCCAGCATTAACCATTTAAATTTCTAAGGATGACAGACCGACAGAACCAATTGCAGTTTTTGTATTTTTTCTCAAAAATGAAATATTTTCCCGCGGTAAAAAGTATCCTATATGTTGACCCCGAAAACCTGCTATCACCATACCAAATTTCATCAAAATCCCTCCAGTGGTTTTTTCTGTGATGCGGTAACAGACAGACAGGCAGACAAAAATTCTAAAAACTATAGATTCGGCCTCTGTATCGATAATAATGTTTTTTTCTATAAGATTTTCCAAAAAATATTTAATGTACAAATTCGGCTCAGTTACAATTTTATTATATGTATGTTGTAAAGATTAATTGAGATCACAATAAGCTACGAACAATGTCTCAATAAGAACTCGACAATAGTTCACGTCATTTCGGGTCACCTATTGTAAGCCTATGTGTTCAGATAAAAAGATAGCCTCACCACAAATACCACATGTCTTGAGTTAATATTATGTTAGTAAAATTGATGTAACTTGTGTAAGATTATGTAAGTAAATAACTTAAATATAAATAAATTTTAGGGGTAAGTTTGAGGAAAATTTCGTGATTCGAAGTAGCATTTAATTAGTATCTATACATGATATAATAAAATTGTAACTAAGCCGAATCTGTACATTAAATATTTTTTGGAAAATCTTATTGAAATAGACATTAATATCGATATAGAGGCCGAATCTATAGTTTTTAGAATTTTTGTCTGTCTGTCTGTCCGTCCGTCCGTCCGTCTGTCTGTTACCGCATCGCAGAAAAACCACTGGACGGATTTTGATGAAATTTGGTATGATGATAGCTGGTTATCTGAGTTAACATATAGGATACTTTTACTGCGTACTACTGCGCGAGATATACTGCGTATACTGCGGGAGAATATCTCATTTCTGAGAAATCTATACTAAACGTCATGTAACGTAAGTGGGAACGAACCCGATCGGAGCGAGGGTGAGTCGCTAGTTATTAATATAGTGGTATTTGGCTAACATAATAAATTTTATATTAGTGAGAAAAATCCTATTTTAAACTTGAATTTGGACTAAAAGTGAACGAATTATTTTATTAACTGAATAAGTACACGCATATTGCATTTGCTGTAATAGGCAACTACCGTAACAACATTTTCTTGTAATATTATGTGGTTATACAACTATTATGATATCTTAATTATTTTAAATGCTTTATAATGTAAAACTTTTAAATTAAAATGTAATATATATTTATTAAATTTAAATTACATAAATATAACTAGATCTACGTTAGCAGTTTATATATATTTTCATCAGAGTGACTTTTTTGTTTTTAGGTGCAAGATGTTGAGATATTCGTTGAATTAACAAAGGTGCTTGAGAAAGACTAAAAATGAAGCAGCTTATAAACAAGAATCTCATTACACTGAAGTGTGTACTCTTCTGTTTCCTTTCAGGTAATGTATTCAGACTTTTATAATGATATCGCGTGTCGTTAGTTTTCATAAAGCGTACTTTATTGTGATTGTATTTAATCAAAATATTTGGAGTACGATGATATTGAGATTTTTTTATGGGATGTTTTATAAGAACATTAAAAATATTATAGGTAATAATGAAATAGGTATGATAACCCACTTGCAATATTTTACTAAGACAGGTAATATAGTAATTTTTATTTTCCTTGAAAGTTGAAGTGACGAAAAAAAGTAGTTCAATGGCAAACGGCTATGGCTCGTTGTACTGCTTAATAAAGCTTACATGTAGAGTTACAACCTTCCTTCTATGGATTATCGGTCTCCAGTCCCCACACAAGTGTAGCTATATAATTACGTATATAGGTTTCAGAGACCGTTCACCTCTTGCTCCGCTAGTCCAGTGGGTTCGGAAATTATAAGTCTTTACGTTTATGGAATGTAAACCATTTAAAGACAGAAAAGAGGAAATAAGACATTGTGCAAAAGCTTCAAGCCATAAAATTTATTTAAAAAGAATAGAGTATAAAACAAAATTTACCTTACTTAGGGCGTTCATTATAATGTGAGATTTAGGTATAAACACTTTGGAACCGAAAAAAGTTAATACTGGCTGGGAAAACTGGAATATTGATTAGATTTTAAAAAAGAAATAATTTGAATATCTTTTGTTTTTTTTTTTAAATGGAGGTTTTTGTTTGAATTATGTCGTAGCGTCGGATATGGAAAAAATTGAATTGCGCGCGTTTGTTTGTTTGTTAAGTTTGTGTGTTCTGAGCTTGAAAAATTTCAATATGGAACGAGTTAATCAAGACTTACAAGATACTTTAGGAGGAAATGCTCCACGATATTCTACAGTTGTACGTTTGTGCGCCGAATTTTAGCGTGAAAAAACGTCCACCAAAGATGACCCTTGCTCAAGCCGCCTCACAACGGTAGTAACCGAAGATATGCTCTAAAAAGTCGAAAACATTGTTTTAGCAGATCGTCGTGTCACAGTACATTTTATAGCCGAAGATTTCGACTGGTCGTGTGCATAGCATTTTACATGAAAGCTTAGGGATGAAAAAGTATCCGCGCTCTAAGGCCTCAGAATGCTTACCGATGCACAAAAACAAACTAGGCTGAACGTTTCTCGAGCTTCTTTGGAACTGTTACAACAAGATCCTGATTATTTTCATATTCACCCGACCTTGTTTTCTGTTGAGGTCGAAGGAGTCTCTGAGAGGACAGAGATTCGAAAATGATGAAGCAGTAGTCTCTGCAGTAGGTACAGGAATATTTAGGTGCTCAGGATAAAGAGCATTTTAAGAAAGGAATTTCAAGTTTAAAAAAAATATATTCTAAGTGTATTATGCTAAAAGGTGACTATATCGAAAAATAAAAAAACATTATTAATAAAAGTCACGGGCAATATACTTATTCTCACTTTTTATTGAATGCCCCTCGTATAAGCTAGCATGTCTTCCTCCGTAATTATGGACACTGTTTGTCTATATTAATGTTATCTGTAATATTTCAGCGTTATTCGATTCACGAGAATCCCTGGGAGGAATATGTCCGTTTTGCTCGAACCTACATGGATAATTATTATTATAGGAATATTTTTTATGAAAAAAAAAATATGAAATTCGTAGCAAAGTCTATTTAAAAAAAATATCAATATTTTTGAAATAGTTTTAATACCTTTTTAATTAACTACCTTATTTTCAATAGGTATAGGATGCATTTTCCCATTTTTGCCCCTTCATATGTTGGCCATTGGACTGGACAGAGGAGAAGCCCGACTGATTTCAGTAGTTGCACCTTGCATAGCGCTATTGGGCCCTGCGATACTTGGACCCCTAATTGATAAGTAAGCTTTTTGTTATTTTTCATACATGCTTTATTAATTGCTTCTATTTAAATATATTTTACACTATTTTTTTTTGGTTCCATAGTCAAAAACGGAATCCTTATAATTTCGTCATGCCCATCTATTCCTCTATCCGTATTTTCCAGGAATTTTACTTGGAAACTATTCATTCTAAATAGCTCTATTCTCGAAAATAAGTATCTCATCTAAAGGACTAAAACACATGAGTTTGAGTGCTTGAGTGTGGTTTTTGTGCTACTAATGCTGTGCGGGTATTCTCAGTGTCAAATGCTGTTGGGATTTTACATTTTCGGAACCAATATTGAGTCAATTCTGGCGGAAATGAGATCCTTTTCGGATAGACTAAGTTCGTCACTAAGGTCGTATTAGCCTACTTGTTTTTTTTTATTATTTAAGGATATCTTTTTCAGGTTATCAGTAGGACGAGGTTCGACTGGCGGAGGGGCTGGCCCCAGTGGTTCAGGAAAACTCTTACGAGTAATCACGGCTATCTGTCTGATACTAAGCGCATTGTTTTATACGTTGTTGCTTGCTGTACCTTACACGGAGCGACATGAGGTATGTTATATATATCATTATACATTTAAACTTTACTTCGAATGACCATCTTAAAAAGAAACACGGAAATCTTAACTATTTATGACATATTACATCCTGTATAATAATTTATACAAGTGTACACTAGTATTGCCCGCGGCTCCGCCCGCGTTCAGATGACCAAAAACCAAATTCTTAGATTTTACATATTAGTATACTCTTACATTGCAGTTTTTGTATTTTTTCTCAGAAATAAAACATTTTCCCGCGGCAAAAAGTATCCTATATGTTGAGCCGGATATCCAGCTATGACCATACAAAAATTTCATGAAAATCCCTCCAGTGGTTTTTCTGTGATGTGGTAACACACAGACAGTCAGACAGACAAAAATTCTAAAAAACTATAGATTCGGCTTCTGTATCGATAATAATATATATTTCAATAAGAATTTCCAAAAAATATTTAATGTACAGATTCGGCTTAGTAACAATTTTATTATATGTATAGATGATATTATATATCTACCAAATTCATCCACAGGATGTTTTAATTTGCTTTGTATGTCAAGGTTATTTAATGGCTTAATGGTAATAATAGTAACTAGTTAAGTACATTACTTTCACAAAATGAAATGTCCGACGAGGCTTTTAGTCTGATGGTATTAAAATTTATAAGCTCGGCATAAACATATTAAGTTTCAATTTGCTTCAAACATATTTATACAATTACGTAGGTAGGTAATATGAGAAGACACGGCGTGGTAGTAAACGATTGCTAAAAGAAAACGGATTCATTGGAATATTTTTACATTTTGTTATTTCTTATCTGCCAACAGGCGCGACGACCACAGGTTTTGTTTATGTGTGATGCAGATGGCGGCTATGTTATGCAAGAAGTATGTACTGAAGGCATGCGATGTAATCGATGGGACGGTGAAAAGGTACATTTTTATTCTATCCAATATCATTTTATCTAGTCCACTTAGGTAAAAATTGTGTTCTTTTTTATATTTCACTATGCAATTTTCTCAATTAAGTTTTACATAATCCTATATGCCGATACCTCATCAATCTTTATGTAACCTTAGATAGTTATGCTTATGAAAATGAAATATCACTCACTGATTAATCACGAAATCTCAGTATGCATAAACTTGAAATTTGGTAGGTTTTCCCATAGCGAGCAGGTATCCGCTAAGAAATCATTTTTAGGGGTTCAGTCCCTGAAATAGTAAAAAAGGGGTAGGAAGTTTTTAACTAATTTTATATCCTAGTTAATGCACTTAATACCTGTAATATAAAAAGTAAATGAGATGTAACCAAACCTAAAAAATGACAACAAAGTCAGGAGTGCTAGCGGTGAGCGCGTGCGAGTACGGGTGCGCGGACGAGAACATGACGTGGGTGACGCGCCCCTTCACCACCACGTCCACCTCCACCACGCTCAGCCCCATGTACAACAGCGTCGCTAACGCCACTGTAAGTATTCAGGGATATTAAATATTAAATGTGCAAAATCTAAATTATGTGTTTGTGTGTGTGTGTGCGCGCGCGTGTCTGTATGTTTGTCACTCCTTCACGCTGAAACAGCCTGACGGATTTGGGTGAAAATAGTAGGTACATATATAGTATATTATGACCTAGAGAAACAAGGGCTACTGTTAGGTTACCTAGGGTAGTTATGTCGCTAATTCATTAATATGTCCAATTTTGATAGCACGATATCTGAAAATTGATTTTAGAATTTAATCAAAATGCTTCATCAATTTCATAATCACTATAGAAATAATTATCTCTTAAGATTTTATTTTGTTGAAATATGTATAGGTATAGGTAGGTACCCTTGATATATTATACTTACATATAAGCGTTTCATTATAAAAAAGAATCTAAGAATCTATTTATAATTAACGGACAAATCGCGTAACATACACAAAATGCCCATCCAGTAAGTAGCTCTTGTCTATTTAGGTCGGGTAATAAAACATGTAGGTACGTATTTATAACAACTAGTGCTCGAAATTCGACAATATTTGAGAAAAACTTGTATTAATAGAATTTACTTATCTATATAAAAAAAAACTGTTTCCAAATTTTGTTTATTGATAATACTCGACAATAGCTACTAAACAAAAAAAAAGAAGAAAATTGGTTGACTAACAGAGGAGAAAAAGGAACTTGTTTTGTCTTTATCTATTTATATATAGAAAATTAAATTTAACAACAACGACGCGTTTTTGCTTAGCTTTGACCCTTATCACACCTCATATCCCTTCATAAGTGTGTGGGGTAGGTACTTTTGCTCTAATGGTCTGTATTTTGGTATTGTTATTGACAGGTGTATAACACGTCTAAGTAAAATAGTTTGCTTTGCTTTATAGGCAATAATTGTATTGATCATACGAATATATGTTCTACCCTGTGTAAGGCACAATGATGCTATGAATTATCATCTAACACGCGATCCCTCGAAATAGAAAAGTCTAGAAAAATCTATGGATAACTATTGTTTTTGATTAGATTTTTTTCGAGAGTATTTTCAATGCAATAAAATTCTAAAGAAACTTCAACGCTTTACAGTGGGTACAGTGTACTTCTTATCAGTAATAGGTTCTAATTACTTTCCCATCTGTGAATATTTTATTAGTAGAAGATAGTTCCACGGCTTAGGTACTACTATATAGTTTGGTAATATGCACTGCCAATGCGTACACCTATAGATAAGAACTAACGTACATGTTAAAAATATAGTTGAGTCAAACATGTACATTGATATTTTAATTAACAATAGTGTTTATCAAATGTTTCTCATGTGTTAGCAAAAGCTAAATCGACAATTTTAAATTTGTTTTTGTGTTAGAAAAGCATCTGCCTTTTTTCTGGCTGTTTAACGCGTGTCAGTTAAACTGCCGAACAGATTTTGAGGCATAGCTAAACTTTTTTAATTAATTGTCTTGAGTTTAAATTAAAGCTTCATTTCAATCAGTCGAATAATTGCATAGATTTGGTTTGAAATCACTATCCTACGCGTTATAAAACATTACCTAACTGTTAAAAACTCAAAAATAAACACGCAAGAGAAGTCGCTGACAGCAAATCCAAACAGATGGTCTAATACAAAAGCTTTTAATTGAAAGGATAAACATAATTTAATCGAGTCTTTGAATATTTTTTTACTATGGATTTTTCAACCGTATTCTAGGTTTGAATCTAAAGATAGGTGTTATAATTTTTGTCCTAATGATCACGTACCTATGGTTAGTTTATGAAAATATGACGTCACGCTAAGGTCATGATATCCTATATTAGAGACTGATTCATGTCAAGCTCCGTCATCAAGTGAGAATGAGCAATCGTCGAGTTAGAAATGTTATGAGTGGGTTGGTACGGATGAGGACACATATCATCAGTACATTGAATAATAGGTTAAATATCACGAAAACAACTTAAAAATTAAATAGATAACTGTAATATGGCTAATTAAATGTAATTGTTACAATTGTTTACAATTGACAATTACCTACCATTCAGCTGTTATGACATGTTATTTATCGTACTACTATTATAAATGCGCAAGTTTGTATGTGTTTATGTTTGTTACTCTTTCGCGCTGAAAAAGCAGGACGGAAGCATAAGTTAGGAATCTAGGAATGGACCTAAGCGAAGCAAGGGTTAAGTCGCTAGTAAATTTATAAAATATCTCTAACCAGTCAACAGTACCTCCGGAGACTGACGACGGTGACGATGAAGAGACGTTTGAAATAAAGCCGCCTCACTTGTGCTACAATGGGAACTGCTTGGTGTACATGCAACACGCGGCTCGCCTTCGAGTGCCGCTGTCGTTGATTGCGCCTCAACCACCTGAAGATAACTCTACCGTAGAGAATAATTGGTGTACATATCGCACGGGTAAGCTTCTATTATGACATTAAATTGAAACACCGGCTTAACTTTCATATAAGTCTTTATCATTTAAAAATGACGCCCAACTGCCAGTTTCATAAAGAAAATTTTCAATCTAATAATCATAATTTATGAAATTTAATTAATAATAAATCACGCTTAACGGTCTCTAAGGAGCGTTTTAGATGAAATTTTTGATCGTTGATAATAGTACATACATATTATCTAGTATTCAACCCTCTTTAATGTCCCACTGCTGGGCACGGGCCTCCCTTCAAAAAGAGGGTAGATCAGGCCATAGTCTCCCACGCTGGCCAAGTGTGGATTGGCGGACTTCACATATCTTTCGAAAACTTGCTGGGTTCTCTCAGACATGCAGGTTTCCACACGATGTTTTCCTTCACCGTGAAGATAAGTGGCAATTATATTGGAAATAATACATACATAATATGACTGTTAATTATAAACACTCGAACTTTCGATTTTCTTTTTTGACTCTAAATTCAATATGTTGAACACTCAGTAGTTTGTGTTCAATAGGACAACATTAGTAGGTACTAGGTATTGCAATTTACATCACACTATTCGTCAAAAAAAAAGACGTGTGGCACTCGGAGACTGCCGCGGTAAAGCTATTGCATAGCATTTTTTATCAACTTATGCAATTATAATTATTTATTTATTTTATTAATGCAGTATTTTTCCTTTGTTTTTTTTTCTTTGATATTAATTCAAGTTACACTTTGAGCGTGGTGACCGATAAAAAAAAAACATTTTTTTTTCTTTTATTAAATAAATGAGATGTTAATATTGTTCAAAATATTTTTATTATCTTTCAATACATGTCGGTTCTTCAGGAATATTTATCATTGAAACTATAGGTTTATTGTAACTGAAATAAGAAATATAAGTTTGAGACTTGATATCTTCTATAAGAAAAACGACAGAAGCGTTATGTAAGGTTTTATTAATAGTCTACACTGACCAAAAATCGGAGTGAGAATGCATATAATATTCACATATCTGCAGCCATCATCGAATCGGTTCTATCGTAATTACCCTCATTCCGTCACAAAAACAATATAGTGTCCATATTGATTATCTCTTAAAAGTAAATTCAATAAAGCAACTTATATTAACTGAATGTTCATACTTAGCATAAATAATTATATGAATATTAATAAATAACAATACTTAATAATCTGACAATAATTAATTATCTAACATTCATATCTGCTGCCATCATCGAGTCGGTTCTATCGTAATTACCCTCACCTTGTCACAAAAACAATATAGTGTCCATATTGATTATATCTTAAAAGTAAAGTCAATAAAACAACTTATATTAACTGAATGTTCATACTCAGCATAATTAATTATATGAATATTAATAAATAACAATACTTAATAATCTGACAATAATTAATTATCTAACACTTCTAAATATCTGGAAAATACCGCGTCAATGGTGGTTCCATATTTTGTTGTGGATTCTTGTGGATCATTATTCATTTTCAAATTCAATATTTTCGAAAGCAAGCTGCATCGACTGCATCTTTGTTGCAAGAATTCAAAAGACTGTCTCTAAATAGTGTTCAGACGATAGCTCAAAGTGTATTAGATTTCATTAGTAATAGAAATGGCATTTCAATAATTACTTTCAACTGCCAAAGTCTAAATAGTCACAAATACGATTTACAAGATTCAGTTACGAGGCAAACAAATGTGTTACTTCTTACCGAAACAGATGTCAAATGTCAGATCGTCAGAAACGTCAGATGTCAGATGTCAAATCTGAGTGGGGGGTGTTAGGTTTTTTTCGTTACGGAATTTCTGGATTCGGTCCCCACGCTCAAGGCCCGCGATGGAAGCTATGCAATAGCTTAAAAGAATTATGTTCCATTTCAAAGTATGTATTTCCATTAGCAAATGTTTTGAATTATTAGATAGATATTTCACAATACAACACATTGTTGTACGAATAATAAATTCTTAAATTACATGAATATTAGATTTTTTAAATGAAACTAAGTATCATTACGGATATTGTCGCGGTCTTCGAGTTTTTGTTTCCGATGTTCGAATGCTTTATAGCAAACATGGTCACGAGAGAGACTAAGATTTTTGATGTGTTGTTTTGTCTTTTTGTATGAAATCAGGCGGTGCATCAAAATGTGTAGTGCCTCCCGAGCGCCTGGCGGGCCTGGTGGCGGAGGGCGAGGCGTGCCGCGCGGCCGTGCGCTGCCAGGTGCTGGACCCCTACGACGAGCCCGGCGGCGTGCTGGCCGACGCCGAGTGCCGGCTGGTGCTGGGCGACCCGGGATATACGTTCTGGACCTATTTTGTTATAAGGTATTGTACTTGCAACTTGCAATGGGACTACTATTGTATGTATTCAGATATTTTTAACGACCCACTGCTGGACACGGGCCTCCCTTCAGTACGAGGGGGATCAGGCCGTAATCCACCACGCTGGCCAAGTGCGGGTTGGCGGACTTCACATGTCTTTTGAAAACTTACTAGGTTTTCTCAGAAATACATGCAAGTTTTCTCACGATGTTTTCCTTCAGCGTAAGTCAAGTGGTAATCAAGTCAGAAATGATTCGCACATTAAAATAGCGGAGGTGCGAGACCCGGGATTTGAACCCGCTTCACTTGGTTTCCCAAGCGAGCGCGTTACCACTGGGTTACTGTAATGCGGGAACTACCTACTACTATTATAAATACGAAAGTATGTGTGTGTATGTTTGTTCCTTTGTCACGCAGAAACGATTCGACGAATTAGAATGTAATTTAGTAGGTACATAAATCGACTATGACTTGAAAATATTTTATGAATGATTTGAATTGTAAAGGTGGTCGATATTGTTTTTCAAATCCACACACGTTTCGTTATTCTCACGTAGTGTTCATGGTCAGTTTACCCGAATATTTATTTGAATAGTATTTACCAATGAATATTAACTCATTAAACCAAGCTGAAGGTAGTTTCTTATAGGTAGTAACTTAGTATTTAATAGTTAGTTACTAAGTTTTAACTAAAGTATCGGTTGACTCAATATGTCGACGGTCATATTTTATGTATCATCCATAAATAAATCTTACATTTTATTTTAATTTTATTTGTGAATCATAATTATTCATCATTTATGTCATTTATGCGAATATTGAATATGTGTACCTTTATCTAGTACAATATTTTACATAAATATAGTAGGTTCTTAATAAGGTTACACATACAGGATTACATTCAATGGTAATATTCCTTAAAATTCAGATTAGCCCCTGAAGCTCGTTTTAATATTGACTCGACGTTATTTCGTCAAACTAGACATTCGATCTTCAGGGTGAATGTTTGAATCCCTGCAACTGTTTTAATTTTGTTGATAGTTGATACTAATAAGTTACCTACTATATATTATATTACATTGCGGTAGTAGTCAAAAATAAATTGAGATATTGAAAGTGTGTTAGAAAATAATTAATTAACCTTTAAATATCGTATCATGTTATTAAGAAACGGTTAACAGGGTGTTAGCTGATATTTGGCCAACTGCTGGCTTGGCGCTACTTGGGGCGGCCTGTGTCATAGCCACCAGGGAGACTTCACTTGGCCGAGGCGACGTTGGCAGGCAAATGGCATTTGGCACGCTGGGGCTGGCAATATTTCCTCCATTGGCAGGATTGGCATCCTCTCAAATGCCAGACACCCCGTATTTGGTGCCATTCCTCATGCACGCCATCTTTATGATCATTGGTGCTATTATACTTCTTGTAGACACGTAAGTATAATCATAGATATTTGTGCTAACAATAGGAATATGCGTTATGTTTTTTATAGAATAGCTTACAACGTTATATATAATTATAAAAAAAATATCCACCTCCAAAAAACTAAAATTTTGTATAAGTTTTAAAAAATATCATATCTATCGATACTGATACTTTAAACGTCCGCCATTTCGCGCGCTTCGCGTGACGTCAAAGTATCATACATAGAAAAATTAATACTTTAGTTTGTAGCTGACAAAATCACTAATCACTCCGTTGTGATAATACTTTGACGTCATAATCGGTCTGGCCAATGACGTGAGTTTCAACTGCTTTAAATTTACATTTAAATTTCCACATATATTCGCACTTTTTATAACTATTTGCTTAATCAAAAAGAAATTATAGTAAAAAATATTGATATAAGTAGCCTTAATTCAAAAACAATAAAGATTATAAAAAACTTAAATCACATATTCCCTATTATATTCTGTACAAATTGTTTCATTTTCGTTTAGCATGTCATTAAATATGTATCTATACTCGTATTAATGACAGTAATTTTGTTCCCAATTTCTTTGTCTTTAAGACACGATAAACATGACATACGTATACCTATAAAATCCCAAAAAAAACGTTGGTTTTATTTGGGTTTACGACTCCGTACATGTGTTAGGACCAAACATTTCAAATAGATAACGTATACATAATAGATATTATGTATGTATATGTATGTATGCTTTGTATAATATAATGTACCTAAGGTATAAATTATTCTTGGTTTCTTTTTTAAGTTATATTTTGGCACGTTTGGAAAAAATTATGAGAGTAAAATTTTTATGGTGCGCGCGCGCACCGACAGCCAAAAAGTGACATGATGGAGTTAGCTGCATGCCTTTTACAAACAGAGAGTTGTGACATACGGGATGAAATCTTTAGCTATTTTTGTTCTGTTACGCCAAAGAAGTATAACTTCTTACGTGCGTACATAATAACATACACACGTTTTTTTTCATAATTTCCAATTCTAAACATAATAAGTATTCTCATATCTCATATACTTTTAAGTATAATAATGAAAGGAATTCAACATATTTTAATTACGCGGCCACATAAAGTAGGTTAAGAAAAATCTAATTATAGTTTTGTTGGTGTTATCTTGTTATGTTAAAAATAATAGTCTTTCATAATATGAAAAGCCATTGATATGGGTCACCAAGTATGTTATTAGATAAACATAGGAATTATTGAGCATCGATTTTGTGGTTTGGTATGTACCATTAAGATGTAGTTCAAATATTTTTTTAATAATCTAATACTGTGTTGTCCAATAAAATACTTGTTTAAGGAACTAAGTTTGGAATTTGGAAAATATTCTAATAATTATTTAGCTTTTTGCCAACGATAGTTTCAATTTAGAAAGTTTAAAAGTTGCCTCGCACATTTATCTGAATAATGCTTTCATATGTCATTAAAAATGATATTTTTATCTTTTTAAAATTTTATTAAAATAAAAATTCTGCAAAAATACTTATAAATATTTAAAAATCATTTTAAAATTCAAGTTTATTAATTTCAAATAAATTCTGATTTCTAAATAATATAAGTAAGTATTTATACAAACGCCTCTAAAAAGTATGTATGTATATCCGCTTGAGTATCTATAGATCCATTTCAATCACTTATCTAAAGAGAACATAAAAAAAATAAAAATTTACATTTATTCAAATATTATAAATGTACCAGTGGGTACGTGCAATAACAATGAATGAACCGTCAACAATACGCGAGCTTTAAATACAGCCGCAAAATAAACATATAAAATGTACGCCAACAGGACGTGTCGACTATTGTTGAATGTAGTTTTGTATCCTGAAACATTGTATATTTTGCACATGAAAGCGCACTTGAAAGCTATTGCAGCACAAACTCGCGATCACGATACGGTTTTATTATCCAGACTCATTCATTATTGCTTTAAAAAAGAAAGGAGGACATCATAATAACACAATAAAATGTATTTTATTGTGTTAAGTAATATTTTATGATAAAAAATTAATAACATTATAAATTAATTAATCAATTATCTCTAAAATAATAGCAGTATTATCACAGATTATGAAAGTTCACTGTAAATTGGAGTACTTGCTTAATATTCTTTAAATTTAAATATGATGTTAATTTAGAAGTTTTAAAAAATTTAGTTACCTATAATATCTTATATTTTTAAACGAGCAATTCTTGTATATATATAATCTGAATATCGGAAACATCTCCAACGATTTTCGTGGAATTTGGCATACGGGGGGTTTCGGGGGCAATAAATCGATCTAGATTAGTCTTATATCTGAGAAAAAGCCTGTTTTCGAGTTTTCATGCAGTTTTCTTTTGCTATTCCACGCAAAATATCAAACGGCAAAGATGCAAGATCAACAATCACAGGTGTCCAGGTTCGAATCTCTGTCGCATACATTTTATTTTGTTTTTTTTTTTTATATTTATTCAAATTTTTAGTTTAATAAAAAAAAGAAAATTGTACTTTAGGCTAAAAGCTTCGAGCGAAACTCGGTAACGCAGGTACTATGTACCTAATATGTCTAGCGATACATCGAATAACAATTGAAATTCATAATTTTCTGCAAAAAAAACAAATATTTAAAAAATTACCATAATATTAGATTATTCGTAAATTGCGCCACATAAGAGCACTTTTCACCTTTTAACAAAAGTACTGTGAAGTGTTGTTTTTGCTCGTGACGTAACCCATTTAAAACTAACAACTGTTTTTATAAACTACGTGTGTTAGATACTTTCAACTTTCCAAGTTTTCCTTATTACATAAAAAAGTAATGTGATATTTAATACTTTAAATATTATTATGTATGTTTAAGGGTTAAGTTTACATGTTTTGTCGTTTTTCCATATATATTTTTTATTTGTAAAGAGGAAAAATTAAAAATTCATAATAATATGTTTATGTATTAACCTTTCTTCTCTGACATATTATGTACACATTATTGGGACACTTAATGGACGTGGTTACGCAAAATAGATCCAACCGCTAAAACTTACTTTTGAGAAAATAGGACTTTTAGTAAAATTGGTACATCAAACTAACAAGACCGTAATTTTATTGGGTACTTTCATCCTCTTCTCAAGTTGATATGTAAGTACTAGGTAGGTGGCGTTTATGACAGTCGTTTAAAAAACTGTTTTCGTGGGCTGCATCCACGTCCTACTTACGTTACCTACGTCCAAATTACGTTCATACTTTGGTTGTTTTATGTTTGGAGCTCTTGTGTTTTACAAACATCACAACATTTGGCAAATTTATAAAGTGTTATAATAACTATTTATTTATGTGTGAATAGAGTAATCTAAATAGAAACATCTCTGCACGTAATCTCAATAAAAATAATTCAATATGATAATTAAGAGCAACAGTATCTACGAGTACCTAATGAATTGATGATACTTACCGGTACAGGAAGACATGAATAAAATATACAGTAGTAGATACATTATCATTGTAATTTGAGTTTTGACCTCAACAATATACATACATATCTTCGATTAAACGGTTCGATTGTGAATCGATCACATTTTTTTTCTTATTATGTAAGTAGGTAACACAAAATTTGACTTTAAGGTATATTTTAGTATGACCACCATTATTTACTACACTTTTTAATTCAGAACAGTAACAGCTATGTTGTAATGTTTTTATTTAATACAATAGTATCACGGCCCGCCGTTTGCTGGGTCACCAGAGTGGACATAATTAGCCACAGTGTTACACAACGTCTGGTTATTAAACTTTGATTTTTAAACAGATCAAGGCAAATATAATTTTACTAAGAAATGATATCTTATTATATGTATAGCGATAGGAATTAAAGAACCTAAAGAAAGATAATTAAAAAGCTTATTTACTGTGTGCTCGACAGCCTCTTTCATCTAGTGGCTATTTTTATTGTTCATCCGTTATAAGGCTGAATATAGTGAGTTTACGGGTGCAAGTCTGCCGACGCATTTTTTGTAATAGGGCTGTAAATTTGAATAATATAACCTAATAAAATAAGTTGGGGGTGTTCTCCCGTGCAACTGTGTCTAATTGAAACTGTAGAGAGAGCTACACTTAAGCTCTTAATCTCTCTCTACGAGTATATCTACAAATATCCCCCATTGGTTTCGGTGGCAGAATTCATTTTCAATGAACAAACGAATGAACATGCAGTTATAATATTATAATTTTTTTACGTTTCGCTTAGCCACATGCCGCTGTCGACGCCGGAGTGGTGGTGGCACACGTCCACCGGCGTGCTGGCGATGCCCATGAACACGGTGCGGCGCTACGGCGCGGAGACCGCCGCCGTGTTCGCCGTGGTCGTGCTGCTCGGCACTATGTGGAGTGGGATAGACACTTATTTGCCCTGGTCATTTTAATTCTATGTCACTATGATTGTGAATGTGTGAAGGGATGAAAATCTATACTAATATTATAAAGAGGGAAAGTTTGTGAATTTGTGAGATTGTGACGTTGTAGGGGGTAATCTCTGGATCTACTGAACCGATTTAGATGAAATTTGGTAAGAAGATAGTTTGAGACCCTGCGAAGGAGACCTTTTCATCCCGGAAATTAAGGGGGTTAAAATGGAAATGAAAGTATTTATTGGAACTTGGGAGGCAAACTAGGGACGAACCTGAGCGAAGCGAGGATGAGTCGCTAGTGTTATATAAATTATAACATTTTCTCATGTTTGGCTGTATTCATTTTTTATATTTGGCTTCATCGTTAGTTTAGTTATAACATTATACAGCTTCTAAATTTTTTAACTGCCTCTATAATATGACTAATTTTGTATTAGTCGAAAACGGATAAGTAACGGATAACTGGATAGGCGGATTTCAGTTGAATATTTTTTTATCGTAATGATAAAAGTTTGCTGTAACAAGACATCTGTGTAGTTTCGCATAAAAACTGCTGAATTTAATAGACTAGTCAGAGGGTCACCTTTGCAAACTAATTTTATTGTATTTTAATTACTATAGTTCGTGCAATAAAAAATAGTATATATGTTCTGTAACAAAATTTCGAGAATATTTTTATTTTGTTAAATAGATATTTACAGTTACAGTGGAGTTTAATTCAGCTTACCTATTTACTAAAATATATTACCTATGTACCGATTTAGTAAGCATATAAATTAATACAATATAGGCACAGTATAATTTATAAGAAGGACCATCTAACTACTAAAACTATACGTGTCGAAAGTGACACCATCTCTGCCAACTTGTCTCAAAAGCTATAGATTGAAAATGAATCGGGTCGTCAGAGCTGATATAGTGTTCGTTAGAGAAATAATGTTTTGAAATTTTTGGTTAACAGTGTCGGACACCCAATTGTTTATTAACGATATTATGATATAGGACTGTGGTAGAGCTGAACGGCACGTGGGTGGAGGTGGGGCTGACGCGCTCGCTGGGCGCGCTGCCCGCCGCGCCCGCGCTGTGGTGGGCGGAGGCGCTCGTCGACTACATCGGACACTCCAATGTCTTTATCACTGCCTTTACCTTCTACTGCTTGCGGTACACTGGTTAGTGTCGTTATGTTTTATTTACTTAAATGTATTTTAAAATTATTGTATTAAGTTATGTATAAGGCAGTGGTAGCCCAGTGGTAACGTGCTCGCTTAGTAAACCGAGTGAAGCGAGTTCAAATCCCGGGTCTCGCACCTCTGATATTTTCATGTACGAATCATTTCCAACATGATTACCACTCGTCTTAACGGTGAAGGAAAACATCGTGTGGAAACCTGTATGTCTGAGAGAACCTAGCAAGTTTTCGAAAGACATGTGAAGTCCGCCAAACCGCACTTGGCCAGCGTGGTGGACTATGGCTTGACTCTTCTCGTACTGAAGGGAAGCCCGTGCCCAGCAGTAGAACGTTAAAAAGGGCTGAATACATACAAGTTATGTGTGTATGTACAGTGTACTAGTTTTTGTCCACGGTTTAGATTCCGTGGAAGGTACATCGATAAAATATAGCCTTGATATTCCATCTGATGAAATGATATAAGCCATTCCATTCTAAATTTCATCCAAATCTATTGAACATTTATGGCATAAAGAAGTATAAATAAATACGAAGCTTGTATGTTCGTTACTTCTTCGCTAGGAACCGGTTGGAAGGATTTGAATGAAAAGTACATCGATCGGCCTTAACCTGGAATAACACATAGGCTACTATTAGGCACAAGCATGGACGAATTAGTCTCTAATTCGTTCATGGGCACAAGTCATCAATAAAATTATTTTAATACCGTTTTAGATTTACGCGAATATTTGACATTTTAAATAAAATTATCTTTTCGAATTTTTTCGCGGATATTTTGATTGTTTTTTTGTTTTGGTTCCCGACGTTTCGAATGCTTAACAGCAATCATGGTCACGGGAGAGACCAAAGGTTTAGACTTCTCCAAATTTATATAGTAATATTACAGACTGCATCTATTCACAAATTTGTTCATTAATTTCTTATTTAAATATAATCAGCGTTAGATTTACACTATCGGCACTCGGGGCTAGTGTCCAGGGCGGCAAAATTCGGAGGGCGAGAAAAAAATTTCTTCGCGTTATCGAAAATACTTTTTTTTTCACAAAAAATGAAACATAAAAACTATTACTACTAGGTATATAATATAAAAAATTAAATGTGTCACTCGGAGACTGCCTCGGTAAAGCTATTGCATAGCATTTTTTATCAACTTATGCAATTATAATTATTTATTTATTTTATTAATGCAGTATTTTTTTCCTTGATTTTCTTCATTAATAAATGCACTTTGTTTATTCATATTTAAAACACTTTGTACACAAATTATACGAGTACAGATATTCACTGTTGTACATAGATGATAAATACCTATACACCTATATACTTTCTCACAAACAGCTGATTACGGTAGTTTTCCAATACAACCAATGCCACCTAAAGGCGGGTTGCTGAACTAAAGAGACAAGCGTGATATTTCAAAAAGTCATTAAAAGTTCTGGTATTTATCGATAGATGGAAAAACTAAAAAGTATCACCGCTGTGCCGGTCGGAGTGGCGGGTGTCAGGTTTTTTCGTTACGGAATTTCTGGATTCGGTCCCCACGCTCAAGGCCCGCGATAGAAGCTATGCAATAGCTTAAAAATATACTAGTAGGTAGGTAGGTATCTTTTTCGAAAAATTGACATTTATAAATTATTTTTTAATTTTGTAAATAAATTATAATTCGAAATATTTTAATTTTATTGAAACTTCTTAACTTTACCCATTGAATGCAAAATTTCGATAGTCGGGCGACATTTTTCACTATGCCCGGAGGCGGCGCTAAGGTTAAATCCGGCAATGAAATAATAGAAACGATGCGATGAGCAGGTCTAGCGTCCAGCTCGTCGTACGCGGGGGTGGCGGCGTGCCAGCTGCTGGAGGTGTTCACGCTGGGCCTGGCGTGGCTCACCGCCGTGCTGTACTTCCGCCACCTCGTGCCGCGCCGCTACACCGCCAGCGGGCAGGCGCTGCCCGTCGTCGCGCACTTCTGCATTGGTATGCTTCTATATATATATATATATATATATATATATATATACACGTTGGGACATTAACACACAGTACCATCTAGCGACTCACCCTCGCTTTACTCGGGTTCATTCCTAGATGCGTTTTGACGTTATGTAGTATGTAATAGTCTAGATAAATTATATATTAGTATATGTATGTATAATATAATCATTTTGGTAATTCAAGATATAAGCTATCGTTATTCCAAATTACTCACACCTCACTGACAAACTTACACATTTAGAATATTAGTGTTGTAAATCAGATTAAGATCAACTTTGAGAGCTTCCACTGAACACAATCAAGTTAACACTCGGCAAGTAGTATCTTAGTTCAGATAAAAGTAAATAAATATCAAGTTAAAGTGGTTGTTTCATCAAACGCAAACTTTATTTTTATTTGTTTATTTATTTAGGAAAGCACACTTACAACATACATATTGAAACATTTATATACATTTAGAAGACAACAACAATTAATTAATCAAATATGTATGTCTTTACAAGTGTACATAACATTCGCAATAATAATCAAAAGTATAAAATAATAATAAATTCCTAATATATAATTAATAAATACAATTCAAATACAATAAAAATGATTCATAATTATTCTAAATTTGTCAGCTATAATAATTAATTTATATGATGTTAAAAAAGTCAAATAATGTAAGTCAAATAAAAAATTGATGAAATAATAACTAAAGAAAATAATGATAACAATCTCTTTAGGTCGTTGCATCGGCGCGGCGGCGGGCGGGCTGGCGGCGCTGGAGGCGCCGCTGGCGGCGCAGCGCGGCGCGTGGCGCGCGCTGGGCGTGGCCGCGCTGCTGGCCGCCGCCGCCTACCTCGCGCTCTACCACCTCGTGCTGGCGCCGCGCTGCGCCGCGCCCGCGCAGCCGCCGCCGCACCACCTGCTGCAAGGTAACCTACCAGTTACCACCTTCACGCATACCTCTTGTATACATACCTATTTGCAGTGAGTAAGTCTGCTCAAAAAGAAATGGTTAAGATTGCAGTAGGATGAAATTGTGGGAACTAGGAGATGTTGGGAGTGCCCGACATATATTAATTCCGTAAGCAACCACTGGGATATAGAGTCGGTTAATAACAGATTTGTGCAAACAAATTTGATGGTATCCTGAATACCCTCTTAAGCGCACACAGTAGCGCCTAATTCAAAACATTTTAAAGCACGATACTTTGCATTACTAATGTTCCAAAAATATTTAAAAAAAATGGTAACTCAAATTTTCTGTAACTATAAATCTTGGTTGTCGTCTTATACATGCGATGTGATTTGTGACATCCGTGACGAAATATCGACAGATAACCAGTATAATGACAACTGCCTCGGTGGTGTAGTGGCTAGCATGTACAGCTGCACACCCGGAGGACCTGGGTTCGAGTCCCGGGTCGGACCAAGTTTAGTTATTGAGTCTTCCTGTATAGTAAGTCTCAGTAACAGCCCGGAGTTGGGAAGTTGGCGGTGTTTCACCCCCGTGCCTCGGAGAGCACGTAAAGTCGTCGGTCCTGCGCCGACACTCTCACCGCGAGTGTCTCGTATCGTCCCACCGGAGTATGAAAGTGACAGGAATAGAGAGTGCACTTGTGTCTGCACGTACACTTGAGCACTATAATATCTCATTGAGATTGACCGCCGTGGCCGGAATCGGCTAGGAGAACATCATGATCATCATAATGATTTTAAATGTCCGTGTTACTATTGCGATTGCTAACAACCACATGCGCTGAAATAACACCTTCTAATAAGATATAGGTGCATTTAGCAATATCTAATACTATTAAACGAGCAATTCTTGTATATTTATTTATTTATACCACCGATCTAGGAAACTGCTCTAACGATTTCGCTGACATTTAATATGTGGTTTTCGGAGGCGAAAAATCGATCTAGATTATATCTGGGAAAACGCGTGTTTTCGAGTTTCCATGAGGTTTTCTTTCGCATTATTCCACGCAAAATATGGTCGATAATTTCGCACGCTCGGGCAAAAGCATCGCAGTCACGCGATCATAGGTGTCAAGTGTCGGATTCAAAATTTTTAATTCTGTTTTTTTTTTAATATTTATTCAAGTTTTTGTTTAAAAAAAAAAAGGAAAATTGTACTTTCAGCCAAAAACTCCGAGCGAAGCTCGGTCGCCCAGATACTATAATATTTAAGTATGGAATTAAGATGCTGACAGGCTTGAAACCAATACAAATATATTAATATGTATATGTAGATTAACACATAACCCGAGCGAATAGAATCCGCATCCCCTACTGTGGTGCTCTTGTAACATAAATAACACAAGTACTTAATATAGTGTATTCATCAGTTTAAAATGGTTATATAAAATATTGTAATTTATATGCAAAGCTAGCACAGTGGACGGACAGCTCAATGGGAAAGGTGGGTGAGGTAGTTCCATAGTCGTGGCACATTGCAACCTGTATTATATATGCACTGTTTGTTATGCACAATAAACTTGTAATATATACGTAAATTATGAAACTTAACTTATTTTATTTTATTTATGATAGTTTATTAGATAAAATTAAGCTTGTATATAATATTGTTATTGTGGCTTTAGATACTAAATATTTTTACTGATACAAACGTTTAAATACGTTACTCATAAAGACTTAAGTATGCTGCAATTACGCATCCAAGGTTGTGCATTAGATACAGTAGGTAATTCTAATTAATGTTCGCAGAAGACACATCTTGGATGCAACATATGTTCTAATATAAAATATCTAATAATAAATTGAACTAATAGCGAACGAGGTAATTACGACTTTACTCATATACAATAGAGACCACGTTTGATGTATTATATATGTAGATACAATCTGGCACTATCAATATATTAAATATTCTTTTCAAACTGAAAGGCGTGTTTATGTAAAATTATATTATATGAACAGCCTAAAATCATAAATACTAATGTGTAATTATGTACACATACAATATGTATATATAACACAATTATGCACATTGCACACCGCGGCGACAACGCGCGTTGTCTACGCATATATTCTGAAAGGGTCCTGTGTACAGCGTACCTACACCACGCCAATTTCAGGAACGTGATACGCTTAATCTATACATATAATAAAATTGTAACTGAGCCGAATCTGTACATTAAATATTTTTTGGGAAATCTTATTGAAATAGACATTATTATCGGTACAGAGGCCGAATCTATAGCTTTTAGAATTTTTGTCTGTCTGTCTGTTACCGCATCACGGAAAAACCACTGGAGGGATTTTGATGAAATTTGGTATGATGATGGCTGGTTATCCGGGTCAACATATAGGATACTTTTTACCGCGGCAAAATATCTCATTTCTGAGAAATCTATACTAAACGTTAAAACGTAAGTAGGGACGTACCCGAGCGTAGCGAGGGTGAGTCGCTAGTATGATATATGAACGTAGGTCATCTGCGTATTAAATTCATATGTTATTATACATACATATATTATAATTGTATTACATTTAAAAATGCTGCAGATTACTTGCGTTCGTAGTTTTATATGCGTCGACTGCGCGTTAAAAACTGTCGTACACGGTACGCCTCGTAGGCCTTAACATACATATGCCCGATTTCACCAACGTCACCTAAGTTCAAGGGATCCCCTAAGCATGGTTAGGGGGCTGTTAGGGGACAGTTTCTGTTTCACCGACAGTTAGGGGTCACCTAAATATTAAAAGGCCCCCTAAATTTAGGTGCTCGAAATATGGGCTTAAAGACGATCGTAAAACGAAATTTAACTTAGGGGCTAGTTTAGGGGACTTTTAAGCTAGGGATCCCATACGTAGGTAGGTAGCTTATGGGTTGTTGGTGAAATCGGGCAATAGGCCAATAGCCTTGCGGGACTGATTGTTGTATGCTACTGTCAAACATCCCCACCGTGCCTATAAAAATACTGAATAGGTAACTATTATATTTATCTGTATAATACATATACCTACTGCACATTACAGGGCTGAACGCGAACGGCGGCTCCAACGGCAACTACTCGCCCATGCGCGTGTACCACGAGGAGCGCTCGAGGAAGGGACACTTCCGTTATTGAGTCATATTATATAATGTTGTTTTTTATTATCTCTTATATGTTTTCCGACAAGTACATAATTGTGATAACTATTTCTTTACTAATGAACCTGATACGATCAGCTTTATATTTTTAAGCTTGAATGTTTTGACGCCTTAACTGCATTTTATTAATTGTAAGAATTTGAAATTAAATAATTCGTATTCTATTGTATTTTTTTTATTTTCAAAGGTAAATCATATAGATTGTAAGTAATAAATAGAAATAATTGCATGGATCTCAAAAAAAATTAACATGGTATCAAAAATAGTGTATTAAATTAAAATGCCCATAGTTTTGTAGAATAACTATTTATCTTATGCCGTACATAGAAAAGAAATAAACCCTATTAAGATCAAAACAAGAGTGGTAGACGATATTATAAATAAAACTAGTGGAATCTGTTTGTTATAATTCTCTTATGGTTGTACTATTTTAATGAAATATTATAGAGCCATTTTGATACATCATAAGCAGTAAAGTAAAAATATCTAAATATTACATACAATCACCATGTATTGAAATAAAATATTTTATCACAAAATGACAAGATCCAAAATGTAAACATAAATCACATAGATCATATATTCAAAAAAAATATATATAGCAACCTTAGAGCTCAGATTAGTAACATTTTTTTATATTTACATGCAATAATACAAACGCTAAAAGCCTTTCTTAACTTATTATACCTAAATAATAAATTCAAAATTAAATTTTTAAATATATAGACAGGACAGATCTACTAAAAAAAAGGCAGGTTAAATTTGAACGAAACATCACACATATCAGTAGTTGTAAATTTAATTTAACAAATAAAACTAAATTATCTTTTTATACGTTTAATAATAATAATTTATAATGATAACGAAAATGAATCAGATTTTAAAGTTAGGTTATGAAAGAAAATGAAAAAATAAAATTATTCTCATGTGAATATTATATTCAATCTCCAATGTTTTTGTACAAATATCCAATTAAAGTTATTTACACTGCCTTATAATTGAATTAAAATACTTTTCCAATAATTATACGTAACCACATCGTTATACACTGAAGATTTTATTGGTAATATTTTGCCAGTCAGTAATGGTTTTGGTTTATACATGCTGTATCAGGATAGACAATCTACAGTATAATAACGCAATTTGTTTATATAAAAAGAATTCGATCGGAATGTTTTTATAATATATCTTGAACGTGTTTTTGCTATTAAATTATGTACTCGTGTCCCTATCTAGTGTGTGTATTGTTATCATTTATGTATGGTATGTTAAGATTGAATTTTTAAGTTTAGTGTCAGCCAATGGACTAGCCATATAGCAAAATAAAGATCATTTTGTGGATAGATGATTGATTGTGATTTGTGATGCGATGTTTTACATCACTATTTCTGGTTCTATATCAGAATTTTACGTTTCATTTTTCAAATACATATTAAAATTAAAGAGAAATAATAATAAATATCTATCTGAGCTCATGTATGGTTATCATATAACATAACATCGATTTATATATTATATTATTAAATTTATTTTGAATATGTTATCTTAAATATAATATACCACATTAAACATACAATTGCATGCCAAGATATTGTTAAGCTGTGTAAATAAAATATCTTCAGAAAATTATACAACAGTGTTTAAGTGTCATCATTAATGTAGAAAATTATAAGATTTGGGTATGTACTTGTAAACTAAAAAATTCAACAAAGAACCATAAAAGCATACATAATATATGTAATAACAAAAAATTTGTTTTTCTAATTATTACTTAACATTACGACGATAAAACAGTATTTTTCTGACTTTCGTCATGAAGAATATGTTTATATTTAACCACACTATTAACTTAACCTATAGGATTTATATGCGCGTTGGATGTCACGAAGCTTCAGTTATCGCATCAGTAAGCTATCCCTCGAGCGCAGCCTCGCCGTTATCATCTTTCAATAAATTTTCAATCATTTCCTCACTCATTTCCGAATCTTGACTTTTCTTGTCACTGTCAGCTTGATTTTCATTTAAAATATCATCATCTAGTCTTTCCTCTTTAATCTCATCAGCCTTTTTTTCTTCTTTTACAATTTTAGTAGAACTTTCATCAGTTTCCAATGGAGTTTTCGGTGATTCCACTCGTCTGTCCCCATTCTGTTTGGTCTCACTGTCATTTTCTATTGAGTCTTGTTTTATGACGGTTTTCTCTTTTGCATTTACTACAGTTGTAATTTCACTTTCCGAATGATCATTTTGTACCTCCATTTGTTTACTTTGGTCTAAAAGTTCATCGCTTGGATCATTTCTCTGTTTTAAGAATGATTCTGCATCGGAACACGCATCGCCTTCATTTCTCAAATAATCGCTTTTATCAAGGGATCTTTCGTTGCTTTCGTTATGGTCACTGCTTCCGACCGCCGTCAAATCTACTTCTTGATTATCGTTCATGTTTGACTCAGTCGAATTTTCATCTATAAAAATAGGATCGTCATTGTCCTCCTCGTGTAATATTTCCACATCGTCGTCATCACTGACGTTGTCGCTCGATTTCTTTGCGACGTACTGCTTGAACTCTTTATTCAAATTATCCCGTATATCTTTAAACCTGGTGACGGAGGTGTTCAAGGAACGCTCCAACGCTTTATGCAAATTGCGCATTTCACTCAATGAGCGCGTTCGGAGGTGCATGGAAGTGGTGTCCTTCTTGAGCTGGTGGAGCCTCGAGAGCGAGTACTCCATGGCGTCGATGGCGTCGATGAGGTTGTAGCGGTACCACTCGACGGGCACGTTGAGGTCGCACACGCGCGCGGCGTCGGAGGCGCGGGTCGGGCGGGCGGACTTGGGCGGGGGGCGCTTGGGCGGCGCGCGGCGGGCGGACCCGCCCTGCCCGCCCTGGCCGGACTTGGGCGGCGGCGCGGCGGACACCGCGCTCAGCTTGGCCGCGAACGTCGTGCCCTTTGCGTTCTTGGCCGCGCCGTTATCCGTAACCGCGACGATGGTGGCGGAATAGCCGCCTGGCATGTTGGGGTTCGCGTTGATGGCAAATATGCGACCATCGGGGAGGCGGTACATCTTGTTGGAGGAGAGTGTCTGCGGGTCCACCCTGAACTTCAGGCCGCCCGTGTTCGCGTTGACGGTGACGTCGTTGTCCGTCATCTGCACGATGTTCTCGGGGCTGAGGTCGGGCAGCGTGCTGGTGGCGCGGATGGCCAGGAAGGGCGTGGAGGACTTGGGGGCGACCACGGGCCCCGGCGTCATGCACTGCACGTCGTCGTCGCCGTTGTCTTCAGTCACCTGAATGTTATCATTATATCGAATTAATATACGAACTGCGGCACACTATACGCAGTATTAGCTAGTTTTGTAATCCATGTAGGTTCCTATTATATTTACAAAATTGAAATATTAAGTGGATATTATATCATTTTTATAAAAAAACTTTAATCCTTTTCTTAAAATTATTTATGTTAAGATCAAGTTACATATTGTATTCTTGTTTATCTACACAGGTAAAACGCGCGACAAGCTTTTATATCATATAAATTGTGTAATATATTAAATTGTTGGGTTTAATTTAATTTAAAGTTTATTTTCTTCTTATTAAAGTAAAAAAAAAATGCTACTTTTTTATAAATTAACTTTTTATTCATATTCTTCTGAGCAAACCCTCTCATTCCTCATATCCATATCATCATTCATATCCATAAAAAAACATAATTCGCCATCTTCGGGAGTCCGCCATATTTGATTTGAATGACGTCACATAGCTAACCCTACATTGTCATCCAAACTCAACGTGTATGCAAAATTTTAGCTCATTCAGTTGAGTATAACTGCTTTAAATTCCATTGTGAGATTTGACCCGAACACACAAACATTGTAAGTTAAATACAAGCTTGTAATACATAAATGCACATTCAAGAAATAGAATTATAATAAAATCTTTCTGTACCTCACACAATGGCTCCAAAGGGAAGTCGGGTGTACAGACTACATCGTCATCGAGAGAGCTGCCCCCCGCCATTGCTGCCACAGCAGAAATATCTAAGCCCTAGTTTAGAAATGATTAAAAATCTTTTTAAAGTAGTATAACATTTTAATACCAATATAATATATAACACTAATATAACTTTAGACTACTATTTGATATCTATTAATGATATTAATTAAACTTCATACTTTAAATTTACATCTACTGTATATAATAATTTGTATATAGCACAAACATATGTTTACCACTTAGATACTTAAAAATTCCCTTAGGCTAACTTCTCATAAAAAACTTGTGTCAAAAATTTGGTATTAAATTCGCGTTGTATATCGGTCAGTTAGTGTTCAAGTTTTATGAAGTAGGTATTAGTTACTTGGGAAATTTATACTATGTTATAGCTAAGGCAAAAATTATCACGTCTAAATAATTACTTTTTCTGAAATCAAATAATCTCACAGCGGCGCAATGCGTATGATTGGCGTTACATATGGAGTTGCGAGTCAAAGATTCTATTCCTGCACGGCGCGGATATTCGCATTTATTTAACGGGAATTGCTGCACTATATCAACAACCACAGGAAACGCATAACGAAGTAATGAGTCTATTTCTTTCATCATACATAAGACCTAAGTATATCTGAGTTGCGTAAAGCCAACAAACAAAACTAGTTTTGTAAAAGAAAAATTGTAACCTTTCATAGAATAATCTAACACTCAGATCATGACAGAATTGCCTGCGCATTTTAACAGCCACTTAGGCAAAGTAGCCATCATAATGTTTAGTGGCTTTATCCAAACAGAAATTCAAATAGTAATAAATTAACAGAATATACCTGTGTCAAACTTTCCAGTGACAAATTTATATTGTCGTTGTTATATGTCGCAGCGTTGTTGAAGCCATTGAACATTATCGACATAGGAGTACCCGCTGCCTTCGGTCTTATCCTTGTGTAGGTGTTGAAGTTTTGCTGCATTTTTCTGTCATTGTTGAATCTCACTGGGTTTATAACAGCAGAATTTGGCATCTAAATAAAGTATTACCATTAAATTAATTAAGTTTCTTTCTATTATACAAGTATTTAGCCAATTAATTCATATACTACTTACTCTAACTTTTTTTGGCAGTGTGGGTATGCCCATATGGTTTACTCCTTTAGTTGATATGGCTATAGGATTTTTAATGAATATAGCTTTATTTTTTGGGCTAGCTGGACGCTTTTGTGCCTTCTTTTCTAGTTTTGGTGACTCCTCCATACTAATAGAAGCAAATTTTTTCACCTACAAGTGTATATTTAAAAAAAATGTAAAAGACAGTTAGTTTTATTCAATAAATAATTTTGTATGATTCACAATAACAATCATTTAACTAAAAATTATGGAATATTTAGGTTATTTTACCTGTATTGTTGGTGGTATTTTGGATATTATAGAATCTGTTAACCCTTTTTTAGGAGCTGGTTCCAATTCTTTCTTTTTTATTTCTTTTCGCCTAAATTTATTTCTGCAGCATTCGGAATGATCTATAGCACAGTGTTTTTGATATGCTTCTTTTAATATTGGGTCTTGAGTCACAAATGTAATTCTAATAGAAAAAAAATTATAATTTTAATAATTTAAATAATATATGTTTAAATACTAAATTTAGGCACCAATCATCCTCTTGACTGCGACATACATAGTATATATAGATTTTAATATTTAATATCAAACAAATATTAATTCCATTAAGTATTTGTCGAATTACAAATGAATTTCTGACTTGCTCTGATAGATAATTTAACATTAAACAATCTGTGGTGGATTAATTTTTTTAAAGATTCTTCAGTTTATTTTGATTTTGTAATATATACTATAGTATTTTATCTGACGAACCAACAAATTTTTAACTTCATTAACTAAGCATATCCACAATACATTTGTAAATTTTTCGTAAATTATATACTCGCCTTACTTATGTGGTATACAATATAAGAAATCGTTTATTTTAATTTATATATTGATAGAAATCAAATGCTTTCTCTAAAGTTTAAGTTAATACTTTACTTACGGAGGTATTGCAAATGTAAAATAATATCTCCTTGTCACCCCATAAAAGTTTTTATAATATTACTAATGGAAATACTAACTTTGATTTTAAATCACAATAACGAAGTACTGCCCAACATGTGGCCCGTAAGTCCCACAAACATCTATTGTTACACTTAAAACATTTCCAGTCATCTGCTTCTTCTATTTCCTTAATTTTTGGGTTACCCAAATTTCTTTTTACACATTTCTAAAACAAGAAAATAAATGCCATAAAATTAAAACTAATATGGATCAAGTTCCAGCTGTAAGACTGCTATGTTCATCAAGTATTTAATCAAAATCATTTTTTTATATACAATATTATTATTGTACAATATGTTTTGGCCGGGTTGTCTATTAAAATGTGCGCGCTAGTATTTTTAATTAAATTAATAATATTGACTTTTAGGAACAAAATCGATGCACTTGTTATTAAAAACAATTATATTCCACTTCACAGAAATATGCGTAGAGAGATTGAAAAGTGATAGCTGCCTTTGCGCACTTGGCCACAACCTCTACGCAGCCAGGTGTAAGAAGGTAACATTTTGTTACATTTACACGTTCATGGCGTATATTCATTATTTATACATCAAATTAAAGCTAGCCTTTTTCTGTACCTGATAAACTACCTCTGCCTATCACTATGTAAAAGTGGCCGCAAATAGGGGTTGCCAGCTATTAAAGATTTGTTTGTTACATTTATAGGTTCATGACGTATATTCATCATTTATATATAACAAATTTAATCCTTTTATTTTGTGCATGATAAAATACCTCTGCCTATGTAAAAGTGACAGCAAATAAAAACTTTTTAACAAAAAAATAAAAACCGACTTCAAACAAAAGCGGTAGTTTTCATTTACTATACATAAATCAAAGATTTTCGAAGTCGGTGTGCTTTGCTCTGTATGGGCTGGCACCGATTTCGAAAATATTTGATTAGGTATGTATAGTAAATGAAAACTACCAATCAGTTATTTTTTACTTTTTAGTGCTTTTGTTTGAAATCGGTTTTTTGTTAGTTCCACCTATCCACCTTCTGGCCTTGCCATCAGATCAGGTCAACAACCCCGAACCACTGTACTATCAACGGAAATAGAAATACTTGCAAAGTTTCAAGTCAATATGACAATTAGAAGTAGGTTAAATTCATCATTAGTTGATTTTCCACCCTTAGGGGTGGTATTTTTTTTTGAAATTTAAATGGGACCAATCTGGAAGTATACCCTTTCAAACAAAACAAAAATTGTCCAAATCTATAAATGACCAAAAAAAAAACATACATTCGAATTGAGAACCTCCTCCTTTTTGAAGTCGGTTGATAAGGGGGTACTAGCAGTTAAAGATAAATTAAAGTGAAAGAGAAATTAAAGTGAAAGAGAGTTAGCGCGTAGTTAACTGTTTGTTGCTATGGTAACCGTTGTTATTGTCTGACAAATGATATATAATATTATATTCTTTAATGGAATTCTATAAATATATTATTGTAATATGCCTAACTCATTTAATTATATTTATTAATTTATCATTCCTTTTACAAACAGAATTGTGGCATACGGGATCAAAATCTTTAGCTATTTTTGTTCTGTTACGCCAAAGAAGTATAACTTCTTACGTGCGTACATAAGTACACACACACACACGCTTTATTTAATTCAAGCTTTACTTGAACAATCGTAATTATACGTAACGTTAAATAAAACGTTGTGCATTAAGCTCGAAAACAACACGGTTAGAATGACAACCGATGAAGCTAATATATTTTTAACCACTAGTAACCCCTATTTGCGGCCAGTTTAACAGGCAGAGACATTTTATCATGCACAGACAAAAAATAGCTTTTAATTTGATATTATATAAATTATGAATATACGCCATGATCGTATAAATGTAACAAAAAAATCCTTAATAGCTGGCAACCCCTATTTGCGGCCACTTTTACAACAGAGATAGTCTATCACGCACAGAAAAAAAATCAGCTTTACTTTATAATATAAATAATGAATATACGCCATGAATGTAAATGTAAAAAAATGTTACCTGCTTACACCTGGCTGCGTAGAGGTTGTGGCCAAGTGCGCAAAGGCAGCTATCACTTTTCAATTTCTCTACGCATATTTCTGTGAAATGGAGTATAATTTAATTTAATAACAATTCATCGATTTTGTTCAACAAAGGCAATTTATTAACCCTTAACCACTGACGTACGCATGTGGTACGTCACCTAAATACTTTTTCGTTCAAAACTTCATTTTGCGCGGGAAATTTTTAGAAATCCTTTTTGGTAGCATCGTAATCATCAGAGACGCGTGTGCGAGAGGGGTGAGCGGGTAAATGGCACGTGCCATAAGCAGGTGATTTCAATATTTCGATGACTTGACGTATGTTGTACATAGGGTCAGTGCGAGTGCGAATTTTTTAATTAAATGTTTGTATCTGAATAAAATTAAATACAAGCTGTATAATTCTTCTTCCGAAACATCTAAAACTAATCTAAAATACAACGAATTCAAGTTAGCAGTGTAAATAACGAAGAAATTATCGAGCGTTGGCTTCGTCAATCTGACGAATCGTCGGCGGATGAAAGTGACTACATTTAATTAGTTGGACCGCGTTGTTACTTCGGAAAACGAATATTGTGATGACGAAGAGGTTCCTGTTTGCGCTTTGGATTCTAACTCTTCTTAAGGTGACATTCCATTGTTACATTTTGCTAGCCTAACTGATTCTGAAGTACGGCAATCTGGCATCCAGGTAAGCGATTTATAGTAAACTAGCATTGCCCGCGGCTCCGCCCGCATTCAGATGACCAAAAACCAAATTCTTAGGTTTTACATATTAGTATACTCTTACATTGCAGTTTTTGTATTTTTTCTCAGAAATGAGATATTTTCCCGCAGTAAAAAGTATCCTATATGTTGACCCGGATAACCAGCTATCACCATACCAAATTTCATCAAAATCCATCCAGTCGTTTTTCTGTGATGTGGTAACAGACAGACAAAAATTCAAAAAACTATAGATTCGGCCTCTATATCGATGATAATGTCTATTTCAATAAGATTTTCCAAAAAATATTTAATGTACAGATTCGGCTTAGTTACAATTTTATTATATGTATAGATAGATACAGCTACCGAAAGTGATGTATCTCAATGCCGCAGAATGTATTATTATTTATAATTTTAAATATTTATTCTTCTGATCGCCTAGTGTTCATAAATAATCTTGGAAGAGCTTTAGTTAGTTCTCGGTATCTCATTAGTCGTATCTTAGGTAAAGATAGAGAGACCAATTGAAACCGGTCAACCATGCACTGAAATTCAGAGATTTGAAACCAGTAAGAATTACTACAAATGATTCAAGTTGAAACGTCGCTAAGCCCGGAATGGAAGTCCACCATGCAATAAACCAGTCTGCTTAGTGCTCTAAGCCGACCTGCAATAACTATTAACTATTATTAAAAAGTGCCTAATTTTTATAACTCTTGCAATTGTGTTTTCTTTTTCTAATTAAGGCCATCCTTAGTACATAAGAAAAATAAATATTTAAGTCCCTATTATTAAAGATATTTTTTGCTTATTTAAAAAAATATATTCATTTAATTTCATTAAGTACTAAGGTTGTTCATTAATAAATATTTTTCTATTACTGTTTTTTTTAATATTCCTGCTTTGTATTAAATATGCTTGAGTGAATATAAAACAATAATTACACTAAATACACTTGACCAATACACCAGAGTTCTTCAAATTGGCAGACATATATTATACATATGTCAGTAGTAGTGTCACAAAATGACATGTCAGTCGTTAAGGGTTAATTTAAATAAAAATACTAGCGGGCACATTTTAATAGGCAACCCGGCCAAAACATATAGTCCCTTTTATTATTGTATATATAAAATTGATTTTGATTACTGATACATACTATTGATACTCGATGAACGTAGCAATCTCGCAGCTGGATCTTAGTCCAATATAATGTGATAGGAATACATACTGCACAAAATACATGAGGACAATCCGAGCAACAGTAAACTTGGCCACCCTGGCCACACCATCGACAATACAGTTCTGATCCATCATCACCTTTTTCAAATTCCCCACTATTGTAAAAAGTGTGACAAGTGTGGCATACTAAAGTACGAAGCATGGGATGAGGACGCATTTTAGCATCATTGCGAGCAGAACAACCCAAATGTCGATCACAAGCTGAACAATGCAACCTCAAACTTGTTACAGTATTTAAATCTGAAAACAATGCAATATTTATTTAAATAAATATGTAGTTACAAAAATTTGATACAAGCAAATACTAAAATAAATTATGTTGAGATAAAAAAAAGGAAATTTAAGTAAAATGTGGCATATACAATAAATAAGTCCATATGTTATGTTACTGTTTAACTAAAATTAAATATATTTTGAGGCAATTCAATTTTTAATACAAAGCTATACATATTTAAATCTTAACATAACAAGCAGGCAAAAATAGAATTATACATTTACTATTAAGGACTACATAAACATTAATTATAAAAATGTAGAAAAATTACCTTTAAATTTATTTTTGTAATAATTTCTCTCTTCTTCTGGTATATCATCTTCAAAGTCATCATCTCCTGGTTCTATTGAAATCAAATTATTAATATTTTTAGTTAAGGTTTATCTTAAATGTTTAAATTTAAAAACTTAAGTTTTATTGACAAAACATATTAAATAACAAAAGCTTAATATTTTTCTATTATCAAAACAATAAATTCAAAATTCTTCTTGCATTAATAATAATATTATGACAACATTGAGTGAGAATGCTCAATGCAATTATTCTCACAAAAATTATATACTGTTTATAGCAGAAATATTATCCAGCTTAAAAATAACTAGAAACTTGATTTAGTTAGGAACTACATGAAAAGTATTAATTAAAAGTTATAAATGGTAGCGGTATATTTTGTTTGTCTACCAGGGAAGGGCGGGAATTGGACATCATCGTTTTCTTTGACCGGCTTCTCCGACGCTGGAGTCGTCTCAATATTGGAAACGTCGCTCATAGTTAAAAACAAATCTTTCATAAAAGACAGTGAAAGTATTTAAGATAAATGTCTCATTATTTAAAAATTGCTATCTTAATGGTTTTATAGTATACTTTAGCGACTAAAACAATCACAATCACAAAATTTTACAACGCAAACTTTTGTTCAGCCATTTTGGCATTTCTGATTTTTTTATTTTTTTACACAGATTATATAGTATAAAACTATAAAATACCGTCGTTATGGATCTTATTGGGAACCAACCGGTGGAGGCGCCACAATCGTGTAACACATCATAATATGGAACATGACTTTGATAAAAAAGGATGTTACGAAGCAGCAGTACATGCCATTTATAGATTTATTTTATAGGGTGAGTAAGTGAAGATCTCTTGTATTGCTTAAAGTAGATATGAAGAATACTTTTAACTCTTTAAATTTAATCGAACCTAACGGAAATTTATCCATTCATTTGGTTTGGTGATAAAATACTTATTTCGAACTTTAGCGTTAAGCTCAGTTAACCACTTGACCCATCTCTATTAAGCCTAAATATCCATAATTCATAAATGGTAAATATATCTTACATAAGGCAGTGGTAGCCCAGTGGTAACGCGCTTGCTTGGGCAACTGAGTGAAGCGAGTTCAAATACCGGGTCTCGCACTCCTGATATTTTCATGTGCGGATCATTTCTAATATGATTAGTGATTGCCTTACGATGAATGAAAATATCGTGAGGAAACTTGCATGTCTGAAAGGACCAAGTGGTAGACTATGGCCTGATCCCCCTCGAATTGAAGGGAGGCCCGTGCTCAGCAGTGGGACATTAAAAAGGGTTGAATAGAAATATATCTTAAGCCTAAATAAAATATTTGGATAATGAAACTACAGATAGATTAAAAATTTTTTCCGAAATTTAAGTACAAAAGTACAAATTTTTTTAGCCGCGTTGAGCGATTTTTGGTAGAGGCAAAACTTATGGGCCGGACATACTACGTGTGACATGTGATGATGTGACGTGTCGACGCTCCACGCAGTCTGGTCCTCTCTGAGTAAAAGGATTCTGTGGTCTGGCCTGGACTCTGGCTGCTGACGCAGACTGGCGAGTGGTGACGCGCAACGACATTAGTTTTGATTTATAAATAAACTATATCAAAATCTAAATAATTATTGCCCGGAGTGTTTTATTATTCGTATAATCATCATCATATGTACATTTCCAAATTACTTGTATCCGGCGCAGTTTCAGTATAGTAACATTTTCCGTACTGCTAATCGGCTTTGCAAAAGTTGTAAAACCCAGCTGCCTGATATCAACCCTCTTTGCGTCTGCGAATAATCAATCTTTCATACTAAAATTCATATAAAAAAATAGAAAAGAAAACAGTTATTCTATAGTTATAAGTTTTCACTTTAGTCAGCAGTCCCCACGACTGCCTCTTTTAATATGTTTTTAATAAAATGGGGCTTGCTTCTAAGTACAGTGCTTGAGAACTTTTATCTCAAGTTTTGAAATCAAACCAAAATTTCATTTGTGCTGCAAAAGCCCTAGAAAAGTAGAAATCAAAACGTCCTAATGTTAAAATCACGGAGAAAGTATCCATATATGAACTAAAGGATGCGTCATTACTTTATTCTTCATTCCAAATTTGCCTCAAAATTTTTCAAGTGATGTAAATCGTGCTGTACTCTTTGCGTCATCGGCCAAAGAATTATACCCTATTTTCTAATTAGAGCACTAAAGCGCATTATGCGGCATAATTCTAACTTCGGATGTTCCAACTACAGCAACGCTTCGCTCAATCGAGCATTTTGAAAAGTACTGCTTTGGCGTGATGCGCGCAAGGATACAAGTCATTAACAGAAAATATAAGAAGTGCTTTTTCTTCAAGGTGACATTGATCATAATTTTATTAACAATATCGTTAGTAATATTTGTTTATATTTTATTTATATAACTAGTGGCTCACCCTCGCTTCGCTCGGGTTCGCCTCTAGAAGAACACTAATAGAGATCTATTAGTTCCCACGGGAACCGTTCATTTTTTTGGGATGAAAGTAATCTGTTGTTTGATCGGCAATATAAGGTATCAGAATGTTAAATTTTACTAAATTAGGTGCATAAGTTGTTGTGTACTAAGCTGTATAAGATACTATAGTTTTTTAACTATCCCACGGGAACTCTTTAATTTTTCGGAGTGAAAAGTATCTTACATGTTGACCGGGGATATAAGGTATGACCATGCAAAATTTCATTTAAATCGGACCAATAGTTTCGGAGATTAGCCTGTACAAACAGACAAACAGACAGAGAAACAAAAAAAAATGAAAAAATCTGGATTTGTTCTATTTTTCTTCTTACGGGATGTAAGAAGATAACTGACTCGGTTTTTAGCATGTTTTTTTTATGTAAAGACATTCGACCTCTACAGTTTTATTATATTTATAGATAGAATAAATAACGTATACGTAACGTATACAGAATAAATAACGTAATAAAACAGTTAAAATATAATAATGAAAATAGTTATAGCGTGTATCTTAGGAGCTAGACATATACTATTGAGAACTTTTATATCGACCTTTTTAAGATTTACAATTTTCTTGTACTCGTACAATGTTTTGATCTATCTCATAAAGTTGAGCCAGCGTTAGCCATATATGTAAATTTCTAAGGCAATTCGATAGAACTGTCATAGGGACTGTGCCATCTGGCGGGAGAAAAAGGCAAAACTCTTCCCCATGTTCAGATAACTGAAAAATGGATGCGTGGACTAGTGTGGTGCCAGTATATTTTATATATTATTTATGCATCTATGGTCAATTGTTATTCTTACTTAGTCTATGGTTATACTCTAGTTAATATTTAAAAGAATGTGATTAGTTAGCACTCTGGTCTCTGAGTCTGCACCATAGAGTATATTGTAACCCTTTTCTCTGCAGTCTGCAACTCTGCACTATTATTTAAGTTTCGTTTGTAAAACAGTCTGCAATGCGGCGTTGTTTTGATGTGATTGTTGGTGGTGCTGGACAAAACAAATCTGTGTTTTTATAGTTTTTGTAGTGTTTATCTTAAATTATACGTCAATAAATACGTTGATGTGCAAAATAGCTTCATTTTCATATAAGAAAAACAAAATTAAAAAGGGAGATAATGAAAACAAGTGACAGATTATGTGCTTAGTTAATTTACGTTTAAAAAAGTATTTTTCACAATCAAATAATATTCTGTGATATTACTATATATTTAAATTTTATAACAATTTTTAAATATTTAAAAGTATGACCGTAACATACACCGGTGAAGTTGCAACTTGTAGAGGTTTTGGAACATTTTTAAAAGTTTTAAATAGGTGAGTTTTGGTGTGAAGATGTTGTTATTGAAATATTAGAATTATGAGCAAGACTACGGTTCATAAGGTGACGGAAATTATAATACACTAGCGACTCACCCTCGCTTCTCTCGGGTTCGTCCCTACTTAGTTTTAACGTTTTGTATAGATTTCTCAAAGATGAAATACTTTTCCGCTGGAAAAGTATCCTATATGTTGACCCGGACTACCAGCTATAACCATACAAAACTTCATCAAAATCTGTCCAGTAGTTTCCTCGTGATGCGGTAACAGACACACAAAAATTCTAAAAACTATAGATTCGGCCTATGTGTCGATAATAATGTCTATTTCAATAAGATTTTCCAAAAAATATTTAATGTACAGATTCGGCTTATTTACAATTTTATTATAATGTATACCTAAAAATGTCTCGTGATTTTGTAAGAAAAGGAAAAACGATTGAATATATAACTATGTAACTCCGTTAAATTATAATTTCACTAGTGATTTAAACAATTTCCTCATTCACAAATATAAAATATTTTCATTCTTTTAGATTTTCGAATATGTATCGATATGTCGAAAAGTAGTTCATATATCGAAAAAATATATTTATATTTTTCGTTTTATATCGAATTCCGTCAAACAAGGTAAAGCATCTTTTATTATTCGGTTTTTCAGTATCGATATCTCAAAATTAAGTGAGATATCCAAAATGTTATTCTTCCTTTTCGTCTCATTTCGTCGAGATTTATAGAAATCCGCTTTTAAATCGTGGCGCCGCGCCGTAAGAAGTAAAAACCGTAGAATCCCCGAATTATGATTTGAGAAAACTGAACTGTTACAAGAAATAATTTATTTTCCATGCATGCTTTTAACACTTCCAAGTAAATTTCTAAGAAATTAATTAAATTTCTAAGAAATCTATTGTTAATTGTAACGCCGTCGTGTCCGCGGTCGTGGAGGGATTAATCATCCACCTTACGTATGATATGAAACATCATTTACTTTATTTTTAACTTTCATATGGAACCCTCGGTGTCATTCTCTATTCTACGTAATTTTATCGTGTCTATCGTCTGCTCAATATCTCGTGATATAGAAAAATTGTTTGTATCTCATAAGTTAAAATCAAGCAAACCATTTATGCTACAGAGTGTACCAAAGAAATAAACAGGTACATACATATAAAAATATAGTCTCGAAAAACCTCATCCTCCTTGGGTAGTCGGGTTGCAAAACAATTTCTATCGTGAGTAATTACTTAATCGGGAAAACTTAGCAAAATATCACCTGACCTACTTTAACTTACTACTATATCCAACCAGTTTTTATTACTTAAAACATATTTTTAACCGATATATAATAAAAATCAAAGTATAGGTAACAGATATATATTTATAAAATCATTTATTAAATGGAAATTACATAATTCTATACATTGATTGATTTATGTTCATTGAAATTATGTTAGAGTTCTCTTTCTACGAAAATCAATAACTCGCACTTGTCCGATTTTTATAGTTTACTAGCATTGCCCGCGGCCCCGCCTGCGTTCAGATGATCAAAAACCAAATTCTTAGGTTTTACAGATTAGTATACTTTTACATTGCAGTTTTTGCATTTTTTCTCAGGAATGACATATTTTCCCGTGGTAAAAAGTACCCTATATGTTGACCCGGATAACCAGCTATCACCATACCAAACATAAAAATCCCTCCAGTGGTTTTTCTGTGATGCGGTAACAGAAATACAGACAGACAGCTAAAAAAAGGCTTAGTTAGAATTTTATTATATGGATATATTTTTTTTGCTACCTAATAGCTCCTTTGTTCACGCATCGTACGCATCCATGATCATATTAATATAATCCCTCCACGACCGCGGACACGCCGGCGTTACAGTTAACAATAGATTTCTTAGAAATTTAATTAATTTCTTATAAGACTTATATTATGGTGAACGTACTCAATAGAGTGCAAGGTAACCTCTTTTATGTTAATCTGCCGCGCTTGAGTAACTACAAAAATCCCCTCTTGGGCTCCCCTACTATAAGCCACAGTGGCAGTGCCTACAAAGTTATTGGGGCTATCGCGCACTCGCCGCATCAGGGACGCTGTTCGTGATCTTACTAATAGAGCAAGATCCCAGGGGCGATCACGTATTTTCTGACGAACGAAATGTAGATGATTGGGTAGTGTTAGTATGTACTAAGATCGCATGCCTACCCGCTAGCTTGGTGAGACGGCCAATTTCCAGGTATCAGGTAATCAAGGTACCTCAAAAGATTACTTACCTCACGTACATTCTCCAAGCTGATTTTCACGTATATTTTAGACAATATCGTTAAAAATAAGTCGTCAATACTCTCAGACACTTTCCGTCGGCCGTATTGCTTTGCAGACGCTTTAAAGGTCCCAAAGTAATTACTTAACTTCACGTAAATTCTGATGCTCCATTTTTATATATGTTCGACAGACAACTATTTTAAAACCTTTTACAAGAAGACAGACCGATCCAAGGAGCCAATCATCCCCTAAACTCAATTTTAATGCCTCTGTGGGTAGGAAGGACGTCTGGCGGCCCTGGGATCTTGGACTATAACGCGTAAGGCCCTGTCCGCACTGCGATATATCACCGCGCGATTTTTATTCTCACGTATTATATTCCGTGATCGAAATTGTACTTATTACGCACTGCGAATAAAATTTCGTACAATTTTTGTCAGTTTGATGCAGTTCCCGACTGAGACAAATGTCTAAAATGATAAATCTACTATATCTACTGAGACATTTTAGTAATCTAAAATGATGTTTTTCTACATTAAATATCAAGAGCTGCGAAAATACAGTACAAAGTTTTTCGGATATTACAGAATGACTACAAAATCATTCGATAAACCAATAGCGTCGGTGCACGACTGAGCGAAACGCGCGAATTTTATTTCGCAGTGCGGCCATAGCCATACATATTATATACTGTACAAAACATTCGCGCGGAAATAATCCGCGCCGCATCGCGTTCAATTTGCATCAAATCACAGATTTTTTTTCCGCGTGAATTTTTAACCGCCAGTGCGGATACTCCTATAAGATTCAATGTGTTACAGAATTGCGAGAATAAAAACGTGCGGTGAAATATCGCAGTGCGGACAGGCCGTAAGAGTCCGGCACACCAGCACTCGCGAACATCCCCGAAGCATTGCAAAAACGCGGTAGCCCCAGCATTACCTGGAAGGCGTTATTGTATTGGATACGCAGAGTGCTATACGACCTCTGCGTATAACTGACCCATAGAGCACACGTGTACATGGACTGACAATACGCTCTAAAGAATGTTATTTTAACTTCTCTTGTACATAGTGCGAACATACAGGCCAGCATGTTACACCTAACTGCTAGCGCTCTGCGTTCTCTCTCCATATCTTCATCATCAGTTACCCAGTGTCCGAGGTACTTAAACCGTGTAACTCACTAGGAGCGACACTCCTAAGAAGACGGGTGGAACAGTATCATAACTTTTATTTTCTGCTTTAAAAACTAGGAGTTCGCTCTTGGTTGAGTTATACCTGAGACCATGGGCCGGCATAGTCCTCACAAGCTAGGTCACATTGTATTATGATGAAAACTAAACGATTTACGGCTAAATATTACGTAGTTTTAAGTTATACCAAGAAGATTCGATATTGTAAACATTATTTAGATAGGTTGAGCGGTTTCCGAGCAATCGGAGAACAAATTGTACATACATAAAAATAGATAGGTTTACCCCCTTTTTTGATTTTTGTTACAACGAATTTTTTAGCGTCGCTTTAGTCCGCCAAAATACATTTTTTTAAATCTATTTTATACATGATGAAGTCCTCGCTCTATATTTACTCGTTAATCATATAACAAAACAGTGTCACATTTTCTATATCCATAGCTTTATTAAATAAAACTATCTTTTCGGATTATTTCGCGGATTTATTTTGATTTTTGGTTCCCGACGTTTCGAATGCTTTACAGCATGGTCACGGGAGAGACCATGGATGAAAATAAAAAAATGAAAATAAATCCGCGAAATAATCCGAAAAGATAGTATTATTTAATAATGTCAGACATTCGCGTAAATCTAAGAAAGTATTATCCATAGCTTTGTTGTTGTAAAAAAAAAGAAATACAAATGGTAGTAAGTCAGCGATTGTTGTAAAGTTTTGGGGTATAAACAAGGGCTACAAATGTTTAGTTTGATGGTTGCCAGGCAAGGGATATTAATTATTCAAATGCACCAAATAATGTGTTTCTTTTATCTGGTTCTATTGCATTTTTATTTCAGGCTACAAAAATTTATGCAACACCAAATCTAACTATTCTTGGTATTCATATCTGATATAAAATATATAAAAAACCGTTTTTGCATAAAGTGGCAATAAATTGAAAAACAATGGCTGTTGGTTTTCAATTTTCATAATATTTTATGTGCATTGTTCTTATCCTAAAATTAAATTATCTGTTACCAATATTAAAGATTGTATCGTATATTCTTTATTATAACTTAAAACTATATATTTAGGGTTAACGAACTTCCCCACAGTGATAGTAATCAACTTGGCTCCATAAGATATCCAGAGTGTATTTATGTGAGCTAAATGGAGGAAAGGCATATGTAGTATGTACTATGCCGACCCCACGACACATAGGTGTTTGGTAAAGAAGAAGTCAAGTTATTACATATATTAAACTAGCGACTCACCCTGGCTTCGCTGGGGTTCGTCCCTAGGTACGTTTTAACAGTTAGTATGGAATAAATAGATTATAATATTATATTATAATATAGCGACCTGCGTTTTAAATTATTTGCGTGGAACCCTAATTCTTTTTCTAAAATAAAAGTAGCCCATGTTACCCTATTACATCAGCTATCATCCAGTGAAAGTCCCAGTTAAAATCAGTCCAGCCCTTTCAGAGATTATCCAAACAGACAGACAGACAAAAATTAAAAAAAAAATGTTTTTCTTATAAGTACCGTATATTATTTCATATGCATTTAGTAAAACGCTGTTATTTTGACATTACAAACAGACACTTCAAATTTTATTTATCTGTAAAGATCAACAAATTTCACATATTGTCCAAGTATTCAGCTACTCGTATCTAAGGTCGCTAGTAGAAAAATGAATTTAATCTTTAATTTTACTTTCTAATAATGGATCAATTAATTAAGAATTTAAAATTATACACCAATTGAACTGGCATCTGGCATTATTATCATCATATCATCATTATCATCATATCATCATCATAGTATAATAAATATTGCATATGTACCTACAAAATATTCATTAAATCTAAAGAAGCATGACAAATACGATGATCGAAATCGATACCTTTGTTGGGAATATTGAAACTAGAAACCCCAGGGAGATCATAACTTTTTGGCTTTATTCTGTGTAAACTATGATGTAGGTTTTAATTTTATTTTTTTTGATTTCACTTCATCAAACATTATCTATATAATAATTAGAATATCACTAGAATTTATTTATTTATCATTGGGAAACATACAGCGTATAATTAATAAATAATAACTAAACACCAAATCTCCAAAAATTTTGCGATTTTTTCTATTTAGTTGTAAACTTTTTTCGGGCGTTGATGTTTTAAAATAATTTTCAGATCGCGCAAAATGAATCACAAATGCTATTCTGCCAAAACTCAACATAATTAAACAAGTTTTATAAATAACAGAGAATAGCTGAGTGCGATTTAAAAACGTTTAACTTATACAAGAGAATAAACACATTTTTCCCTCAATATTAAAAAAAAAAACAAGTTGAATTACAATCGTAATTCTTTAGGTTGTTAGCTTTTTTTTCATGAAGTTTACAAAAAAACACACATCCATAATTACAGGTACCGTTTCATAGAAAATAATTATTATAATAGGTAAAACACAAATAAGACTTTGTTACGAAGTAGGGTCCAGGGATCAAGAATTTCGAAGGCACGTAGAATGCACTTCTATGTAAAATGAACCGTGTTTAATGGTTGCGGATTGAATGAATTACCTACTAATACGAGAGCTTAGCCGCTGATTACCCGTAGATTATAGATTCGAAAATTTTAAAAATAATTATTTTTAACCTTAGTATACATATGATGATGATGTTCTCCTAGCCGATTCCGGCCACGGCGGCCAATCTCAATGAGATTAGCCAACTGCGCAGGAGATATTATAATGCTCAAGTGTACGCGCAGACACAAGTGCACTCTCCATTCCTATCACTCTCATACTCTGGTGGGACGACCACTCGACACGACCGGTGAGAGTTAAGGCGCAGGACCGACGGCTTTACGTGCTCTCCGAGGCAAGGGGGTGAAACACCGCCAACTTCCCAACTCCGGGCTGTTACTGAGACTTACTATACAGGAAGACTCAATAACTAAACTTGGCCCGACCCGGGACTCGAACCCAGAACCTCCGGGTGTGCAGCCGTACATGCTAGCCACTACACCACCGAGGCAGTTATATAATATACCTATATATAGAAAACAATATATTTCTGCAATATCACTACATTCTAATTTTCCACAACTCAACGTATTCGAACAGTGCGATGACGTAATATCCTATAGGACAGCTGATTTGTACGTCGTGACGTCTTTGATGAAGGTTCTTTTGTACGACAAATATCAAGTTGGAATAGTTCTTGAGATTTGCTAATTCTATACCCAGCTATAAAACATATGATATACTAGTGACTCCCCCTCGCTCCGCTTGGGTTCGACGTTTTAACTTTTAGTATAGATTTCTCAGAAATGAGATATTTTCCCGTAATAAAAAGTATCCTATACGTTGACCCCGATAACCAGCTATCATCATACCAAATTTCATCAAAATCCGTCCAGTGGTTTTTCCGTGATGCGGACACACAGACAGACAAAATTCTAAAAACGATAATAATGTCTATTTCAATAAGATTTTCTAAAAAATACTTCACGTACCTATAGATTCGGCTCAGTTAGAATTTTATTATATGTATAGATGTACATATGAACTTTCTATTTTAACAACCACAGTTGTATAATATTTGCTATTAATGATTCACGACACCATAAAAATATGATTCGCTTGAACGTCTGAGCCATCTTCCACCCATGTGCGAAAATTATGTTTATAACATAATATACGAAAACGTAAAGAAAGATGATTTGTATGTGTCTAAAAACATCATACATATCAGTAATTATTGTTTCTAGGCATAATATGTGTATCATCCTTCCTAATCTTGAAAAACATAACATTTAAAAGTTACTTGTTGGTGTAAATAAGTGGAATTGTCTTGATGTATTAAAAATACCATGTTACACCGTTTAAAACAGATTTAATTTTTTATTAAACTAGCATTGTCCGCTCGCGTTCAGATGACCAAAAACCAAATTCTTAGGTTTTACATATTAGTATACTCTTACATTGCAGTTTTTGTATTTTTTCTCAGAAATGAGACTTTTTCCCGCGGTAAAAAGTGTCCTATATGTTGACCCGGATAACCAGCTATCACCATACCAAATTTCATCAAAATTCCTCCAGTGGTTTTTTCTGTGATGCGGTAACAGACAGACAAACAGACCAAAAATCTAAAAACTATAGATACGGCCTCTGTATCGATAATAATATTTATTTTAATAAGATTTTCCAAAAAATATTTAATGTACAGATTCGGCTTAGTTACAATTTTATTATAATATGTATAGATGATTGTTGGAATCTCGCCGGCTCTTCCCAGCAAAATTGCATTGAGAGCCGGTGAAAGCTTCACGAACTGACTCTACCCTGACTAAAAAAGTGATTATAAAAGCTTCAGCTTTTCCTAAAACCTAATCGAATAAAGTTCATTTTATAATTTTAAATTTGGATACAAACCTATCAAATAAAAAATCTTATCTTAAGTAAGCAATTAATTAGTATATCTATGCATACTAAATTTAAACTTAGTATATCAATAATAATAAAAAGTCTAAAATTCCTTTCGTATATAATATATAAATTTAGACAATATACTGTAAATAGAAACAAATATCTTTGAACTATTTTACGTATGTACCTACATATATGAAAGGAAAGTATAACAGTTGTTCTTCATAGGAATCGTAAATATTTTAGGTTAGCATTATCTTGAGCACCTGTATACTTATATAATATACATATTACTCGTATTATATCGAGAAAACATTACATAACTTGCTTACATAATAAATAATGTTATAATTGGTATTCAATAAGGATAAAACAATAAATTGATCGATGTGAATAATGCTTATAAAACCAGTAGAAATAATTTCTATAATATAAAAATTAATCGTTGAATGTGTTGGTAAGCGCAAATCTCGAGAGCAGCTGAACCGATTTCGCTAATTCTATTTTTAGAATATTCCTTGAAGTACGAGGATGGTTCTTACGGAGTGAAAAATTTAAAAAATTGCCTGAAAAAGTCTAAAAACAACACTTTTCTATACTCCCATAAAAAAGATTTGTAATAATACTTAAAAGTCAAGCTGAACTTTAATACTATAGTATAAAGTTTAAGTATTAGTGGAGAGGTTACGGGAAGGCAAAACATTGATGGCAATTGAGTGATCGTATAAATATTAATGTCAATATTTGTCAATATTATCAACAATATATATATATATATATATATATATATATATATAACGCTGGCTAATAACTATTTATATCTATCTAAAACGTAAACCCGAGCGAAGCGAGGGTGAGCCGCTAGTAAAAAATAAGAACATATTTAAGCAGTATGTAGATAAATTAATAATGAATAATTTGGTAAGAAATACGTTAATTTTAATTATTCTTTTAGCTTTTACTTATAAGCCATTTACTAGTACGTTCCTTTTTTTTTCAAATATAATTATTTCTTACACATGTAATATGTTTTTTTTTCCAGATGGCGAGGAAGTATATATAAACTAATATGGTTGGATTTATTAGTTTTTTTACTATTATATTACATACTGAATTTGGTTTATCGATTGCTCCTGAATGAAGAATCTAAAAGGTAAAGTATTTTCTTATTTTTTACTTTCTATTAAAGTTAAAAAAATATAGTTAATACATCTATATTAATCGTTCTTTTAGGACATTCGAAGGAGTAGTGAACTATTGCAGTTTTCACGGTAATGTTATTCCGTTGTCTTTCGTGCTAGGTTTTTATGTGTCTGTCGTGATGAACCGCTGGTGGAATCAGTACACAACCATTCCATGGCCAGACTCTATTGCTGTGTTTGTTTCAGCCAGTATACACGGACAAGTAAGAAAATATTATTTAAATTCAATAAACTTTATAAATATGTAGATAGGTAATATCTAAAAGTATCTGATATTTTCAAATATCGTCCGTGAACTTCTGAGATCTTTCTACTTACAAACAAATTTAACAGAAGGAACATAAAGCTAATTGATTAATTAAAAAAAAAAGTGGAGAATTTTGGTAAACAAATAAGTAATTGGTTGGTATACGTACGATAATACGACGTAATACGTCTTTTTATGATATCACCAGTGACTTACCATCGCTTCGGCCGGGTGCATTCCTAGGTGCGGATGCTTCCATAATACATTGTTATATTTATAATAACTCTTATAGGATTTTTTTGTGAAACGTAAATTCGAATCTTGAGTAATGTTTAAAGGTTTTCGATTTACCTAAATATTTCAGGAATATAATACGTATGTAGCCCTACAATAAGTATCTACAGTCGTGTCAGTGCGCCACATGCTAGGACCCTCCTCGCTCCCGTCTGTCATTCCCCCCCCCCCCCCTGTCGTCGTCGTCGTCGCGTCGTTAAGATATTTTTCGCGATTTTTTGTTTAAATGGTGTAAAGGCCAGTTTTGATCTAAATTAAGTGATTAAATTGTCTAACATATTTATTTAGAAAAGAAATAGCGACTCACCCTCGCTTCGCTCGGATTCGTCTCTGCCTTGCTTCCCCATACAAACTTTCATCCCCTTAAGGGATTATTCCGGCATAAAAATATATGAATATTCGGATAAAAATATATAATTCCGGGATAAATATATCCTATGTCCTTCCCAGGGTCTCAAACTATATTCTTACCAAAGTTCATCGAAATCGGTTTAGTAGATCCAGAAATTACCTCCTACAACGTCACAAACTCATAAAGTTTACCTCTTTATAATATAAGTATAGATAGATTGACGTATAGTATTAGTATTGTATATGAAAAAAAAAATATCTTATAGATATATAAAAAAATATCTTCATCACTCAATATATTACGACACGGTCGCGGTTCCATAACTACGAATATTTTGTATTATCTCTTTAACCATTTGTCTAAATTATATGCAGTAAAAGGGAAAAGTCTTTTGTTTTAAACATTTTAGACGATAAATTTACTTATTTTGAAAATAATTCATAATTGCTGATAATATGACCAATAAACGTGACCTACCGATTTAAATTATTTTTTTAATATAAAAATACTACTTTTTGTGACGTAAGTATAAAAGTTAGACATAATATGCTGTCGCTGACTTTTTTGTAGGCATTATTAAGCTCTACAACTTTTCTCTAGAACATAATCATATATCTCTTATAGATAAGGCAGCGTTCGTAAGAAACGTTTTCGTTTGACCGTTTCGTCTCCGAATTACTTTGCAAATCTGACTACCATGAAAAAGCCTTTTAATTCTTCGGGTTAATATATAGCCTAAGACACTCAGAAAGAACGTGGCTTTCTATTGGTAAAAGAACTTTGAAAATCGGTTCAGTAGATACAGAGATTACCCCCTACAACATCACAAACTCACAATATCACAAATTTTACCTCTTTATAATATTAGTATAGATTAACACCATGTCAGTAAAAGAAAAACACCTTCGCAAATAAAGCATTATTTTAGGCCCAATTTGTGTTCGTCCCTAGGTACGTTTTAACGGTTAGTATGCAATAGATAAACTATATAGTATAGGTATGATATAATATAGCCTATAGCCTTCCTCGATAAATTGCTATGTAATGCAAAAAGAATTTTTCAAATCGGATTTGTAGTTCCTGACATTAGCGCGATCAAACAAACAAACAAACAAAAAAACTCTGCCTTTTTATTATAGCATTAATATAGATAATTAAATGCTGTTAGTATTATGTTGCTTTTGCCAAATGATGGCAATAAAATGAAGTTTTGCGCAAAAATGCTAGTTTAGGGGATATTAGAAGTTCGCGGACGATATGCTTATATTCACATCCTACTAATATGACTAATCCTACTGCTTATCGTACCATACTTCCTAGTTCCTACTAACATTGTAAACGCAAAAGTTTGTGAGAATGGATGGGATGGATGTACATAGTGCTATGTATGTTTGTTACTTTGTCACGCAAAAACTAGTTTATAAGCTATTTTACAGTACCTAATATAGCTCATATGTTAGATTAACATATAGGTTATAATTTATAAAGATGTTGCTATTACATAATTAAATTCGCAGTCGTAGCTGTACTGTTATCACGATTTTATGCCAGAAAAGCAGCAATGGTATCAACTCAAGTAAAACAGCTCGGAGCACTTAAAAGCAAATGAATGGATTTTTTTGTAGTATACTTGTTGTTTGTAGTGTTCTATTTTAATTTGTAATAAAGTTTTATTTTCCTCGGATGAGTAGATTGGACGAACTAATTCTAGAGCTCACTTAAGATGATGCCATCGTTGACATAAAGCGCGGAGATTGGCTTGTGGCTCCTATCTAAATTAAAATACACATGTGTGAAAAACCGCAGACAATAATAGTATGTAATCGACTAGTGATATGTTATTATAAAATTTCGATTCCAGTCGTTGCCATCTTTTATATAAATTCAGTTACATTATATAACTAAGAAAATCGTTTGTTTTTTCTATGGAACCATACGAGTGATATCATAATTTTATAAATATATTTTGTGTTCTTAAGATAAGATATAAAATAAATCGCAATGCAAACCAAAACTTATTGAAGTTGTGAATTTTGTTGAAACGTGAATATATCAAAATCTACTGAAATGGAATTTTTCGATTGTACATAGGTAAAATTATAACAAAATCTGGAATGCTGGAGAGTAACATAGACTACTTTTTACCGCGGGAGATTATTTTATTCCCACGGGGAAACACGTTATAATAGAATCCAAAAAAAATATGATCAGAATTACTTGAAACTTGGTATTAATGCTCTTCAATAAAATTAAATAAAAACGTGTTTTAGCATTTTTTGAAATTCATCCCATAAGTGGGTAAAATAGGTGATGAAAGTTTGTACGAAACTAACCTTTTTTGAGTTTTTTTTTGTAGTTTAAGCGCTAGCGAAGCCGCGGGTTCTGCTAGTATTGTATAATTGGTATTTGACTATTTTGAATTCTTTGATCCGCGAAATGATCTGATAGTGGCAAGTAAAAAATAGCAGGCTCCAGATTTGTCTTTTTTGGTTTTGGTATAGAAATAACAACTGTTACTACATCTTTCAATAGGAATGGACAGTAACGCTTATAGGTACTGGTGGTACCGGTATACCTGTAACTTGGCTGTATAAGCGCTATTCAGGTATTTGTTGAAATTCAATAGTAACATTGCCTTAAAAATATTTAATAGCCCACGTGTTGGACGATAGGGTGTATGTATCCACATCCTATCCATCCTATCCAATTATAATCGTACCGGCAACAAAAAAGGCAAAAATCGCGCTGATATATCCTTTGGATGATTGATGTTTGGCTAATCAGTCTAGCTTAATTTATACTTAATTTAACTAACAGGACATACTCGTATTATATTGGCGCTTGCCCTAATTGTCTCAATTTAAAGATTCATAATTATTATAAATAACAATTATTGGTTAATCGAAGAAAAAATACGAAGATGATACTTTACTATCTAAATAATATTAAAAATAATATAAAATATTATTTAGGCCTATACGCAAAGTTATATTTGTTTATAACCTGCTGCACGTAATTGTTTGAAGTTTTGTGAAAAAAAACATGCTATTTCTTCAAGGAATGAATTAAGTTAGTTGACTAGATTGAATGTCTGTACCAAGATTACATTTGATTGTGTAAGTGTCGTGGGTTTTGAATATAATCCGGTATTTTACAATTTAAACTGTTGCTAGAATTTATATGATTGTTTAGGCAGGATTTATGTGACGCACAGATAAAATAAATATCTGTTGCGTGTAAATTTTCTAAATAAATCCATATATTAGATGTTCCATAAACTGTAGTGTTGGTCTTGGCCCAGATTACACATTTTTTTATTTATTAAGAAATTATGTAAGATGATCTTTAAATACATACATATATTATGATGATTCTGTTAGTATTATTCGTTTCTTCAACTTGAAAATAAGTTAAAATTCGTTTATTGTTTTTACTTTTTACTACCTTTTGCCCGCAATTCGGCTTGCGTGGTTATTTGGCTAAAAATGCTCCGCTCCTGAGGGATGTAGCATTAAGCTAGATAGGAAAATAATTACTAAATACTCACTTTAGGAAAAATTGATTTAATTTTCTAGAGTTAATTGGATGTAGGTATTTGACGCTTGTTCAAGTGAAGTTGTTCAAGGAGTTGGCGTATGGTACACAAGGAAGAATAGATGTAGTCTAAAGACTAGAGGTTGACAAGTTTTTGGTCAATGCTAAATACAGATTGATTAGCCAGTTTTGCAACAATTCGACTACGTTTCTTATGCCCGATGTCACTAACATTCCATAAGCTACCACCTACGTATGGGATCCCTAGCTTAAAATTTCCCCTAAACTAGCCCCTAAATGAAATTTCGTTTTACCATCGTCAGAGCCCGTATTTCTAGTACCTTTATTTAAGGGGCATTTTAACATTTAGGTGACCCCTAACTGTCGGTGACACAAACTGTCCCCTAACAGCCCCCTAACCATGCTTAGGGGATCCCTTAAACTTAGGTGACATTGGTGAAATCGGCCATTAAAGTAACTTTACATTTATTATGCCTATTAAAGTTGGAATATCTTTGCGTAATATCAATTTTTTATTTTACAACCCCTTATCATTTGATAGCTTACCTACTAAATATTACATGAGTATAATTCGTTTTTTTTATATGATATAATATATTTAAACAACTGTTAGTATCGGCATAATAATGTACATGAACATTTAATAATTGTAAGAATGTTTTTTTTTTATATAACAATGGTCTTTAATTCAATATGCCAATCAATTGTATTTTTTTGAACGTGTTATTACAATGTGTATAATTGACGTATTATCTGTACTAATATAAAGCTGAGAAGTTGGTTTTTTTTATTTGTTTATGCACGCTCATCTCTGCAACTCCTGGACTTGTAGCATATTTATTATTGTAGGTTAAAGGCTATCGAACATTAATACACATATATATATATATATATATATATATATATATATATATATATATATATATATATATATATATATATAGTAGGTACATTAACTATACGGGCAGAGTATCGTTCTGACGCTAGTATATTATATAGTAAAATGTATGTGTGATTAGTAGATAGAGTAGATATGTGTGATTTCCGGGTACAGTTTCGCATTAATCAATGATACAATTATTCTCAGAAGCGATAAAAATATACATATACCTAACAATAAAATGTTCAATGACATTATTTATACATATACAATAAATATATACAAACGTATAAAAACACGATTTTTATATTTACATAATATATGCATTTAGTGAATATTATTTAGTAATAGTTCGGGGAATATTAAGGTGACCTTTTAGGCTATAAAAGAAAAACATCTAACGAGATAGGTAGAAAATTATAAAAATATCCCAGAACTAGTGAATGGAATGTGGCGGCATAGTTATTATTATTTCATATTTTAGTACCTATATAAAAATATGTTTATCATTAGTAGTTATATTTTATACATTTGTGTATATTAAAAGTCTACATAGATAGAACAACGTACAATTGCTGTAAATAAAATTAAATTGCATAAAATAAATTGCAATTATTGTAGTAGTTGCCATTTGTACCTAATGCCTATACAATACTACACAAATACATACATAGAAAAATATTATTATGATTTAATTATATAGTAGGATAGATAGTTAAAAAAAGGGTTACTAATATTATTAATATGAAAGTTTAGACGGAAGGATGTTTGTTAGTCAATCACGTCAGAACGGCAGATGCCTGATCGGATCTGGATGAGGCACAGAGATACATAGATTATAGTCTGAAATAGCACATAGGCCTTTTATCCCGGAAAAATGTACTATTCCCGCGGGATAGATTTTTCTAAAGGCGAACCCGAGCGAACCGAGGATGAACTGCTAGCTAGTACATAATATTATATTCTTTTACAGGACGAGCGTGGTCGGTTGATGCGTCGTACTATAGTACGTTATGTATGCCTTTGCCTCACTATGGTGCTAACTATGATCTCTCCTAGAGTTAAGAAAAGATTTCCGACACTAGATAATTTGGTAGAAGCTGGTCTTCTGCTGGACAATGAAAAGACAATTTTAGAGAATTTAAATGATAAGTTCCCAAAGCCGTCAAAACATTGGTATGAGTAATATTAACAATGATAAAATATATTTATATTTATAAAAGAAAGAAATATATTTTTAATAGAACTGCTGTTTTAAAGGTTACCTATAGTTTGGGCGACAAGTATAGTGACAAGAGCCCGGAAAGAGGGACGGATTCGTGATGATTTTGCAGTCAAGACAATAATTGACGAATTAAATAAATTCAGAGGTCAGGCTGGGCTTCTACTCAGCTACGACACTATAAGTGTTCCTCTAGTTTACACGCAGGTAACTTTCTAATAGTTCTCAAACAGCATAAAAATCAAATGTTTTGTCATCTTTAAAAATGTGTTTGGCCGTATAATACCAGAGTTGTGATTCAAACTTAGTAACCACGCCCTTGCGTGCTCAATATTCATAAAACTTTTTTATGTGTTCCGTAATGAAAATTGCACATTAATATAGCGAGAGTTAAAATAATGGAACTACATGCCGTGATATTTTTCAGGTAGTAACCATCGCTGTTTACTCATATTTTATAACTTCAGCGTTGGGTAGCCAATGGATCGATAACAAGCTGCAATCACATTCTTCTTCAGTCTATATAAGTAATATAGACCTTTATTTTCCGATATTTACAACATTAGAATTCTTCTTCTACATGGGATGGCTAAAAGTGGCGGAGTCTCTTATAAACCCATTCGGTGAAGACGACGATGACTTCGAAGTGAATTGGATTGTAGACAGAGATTTACAGGTATGGTTATTTTAAATAATTTCCAATTTGTTAATTATGATTTATAAACAAAATGTAACAACATTTTCAATAAATAGGTTTCGTATATGATTGTGGACGAAATGCATCACGAACATCCAGAACTGATCAAAGATCAGTATTGGGACGAAGTGTTCCCGTCTGAGTTGCCATACACGATTGCAACAGAAAACCAGCGAGAAGAGCATCCAGAACCTTCCACAGCGCGTGTGGCGGTCCCTCCTAGACAGCGAAGCATGGTCACCGTAGCGCCCTCCAGTGTGAAAATCGACGAAATGGTCCCCTCTAACACCGTGAGTTACAAGTTCGCCCCGCCCGAGGTTAGACTCCAGACGATTTATAAGCATGCTGCACGCTCAGGATTGGCCAGTCACAGATAGAGAGAAAAATTCAAATAACTATAATTTTAAAAGTTCATCTTTCTTTGAATTAGAGGAATATTCAACAAGAAATAAGAAAAAATGCTCTGTATAGAGTTTGATGTTTGTAATTTACTTTTTCAATACTCTTCGTTAGCGAAGTTTTCTTTCGATTTGTGGCTGACGTTATATGGAGCTTGGCAGTGTGTTGGTGTTAAGGGTTGCCAACAAGTATGTTATTTCCCTAAAGCTTGTATTTCAGTCTTAAGGTGAATGGGTTTACTGCGGTTGCGGATTCCATTCTATTTGTAAAAAGGTAAATTAATATGTATTATTATTACTATGATCGTCTATGACGATAATCTTTTTTATATGCGTAACCTTGGAAAATATTATCGGAAGATAATACAATTATACTATAAATGTTTTGATTAAAATACCGATTATCAATATCTACAATATAAATATTTTAATGTTATCGTATTACTAACTTTTATATTTAAAAATGATCGATTTATATCTTTGGCAGCCCTTTCGAAGTCAATAATCTCAAACCTCTAAATTAAAATTGATAATGAAGCATGTAATAATGTGTAAAGGAATGAGAAAGTAGTATTACATATATTTAACCAACAGAATTTAAACTTGGTGTTATTTATTAGTGTGGTATTCATGTAAACTGTATGTACTTCAGTCCCTCGATCTAACTCTTTTACCTTGACAACCTTTCGCTTTGCCTTCTAACAATTCTGTAACATATTCTTATTTAATACCTACTTAGCTACTAATATAATTACGCATTAATTTTATTTTGTTTGTGATCCTTATTTTATTGTTCTTTTACGTCATTTACAGTAGCCCTTATATGTTCGTTTGTGTCGCTGTAAATATAGCGTTAATTAATATGAACTATTAAATTACCAACAATCAATTTATCAAACACTTTACAGTGCAAACTTCAAACATGTTTTAAAAAAATATATTTATTTAACTTGTTTAGTTTGCGTCATGGGTTTTATCTTCGAATTTTCCTATATTTAACACTTTTCCTAAACATTGAGTGTATAGTTTTTCGTGGAATCAATGAATCATAGATCATGTTAACATCATATTCAGCATCGCCTTGAAATGAATTCTTTGTACAATAATTAATATTCGTTATTGTTGCTTTATTCATTCAGCAATTACAAATGAATGACGATGCGCAATCTGGGATACATTTTATTGTATCGAGAGGAAGCAAGCGTGGGAAGAAAGAAGATAGGAATTCGATGGGGTCGAGTAACTCGATGGCATCTTTGCAACAAATACCTATGACACGAGTGAATTCTGTCACATCTATGTTGAAACGACTCTTTTCGAAGGACGATCAACGACAGCAGTCGGCCACTCCTGCGGCGACACAAACAGATGGCGGTAGGTGTATATGTATATATAAATTACTTGTACAATAAATAAAACAAAATATTGATTGTATTTAAAAGATCACGTCCGAGTTAGTGTCAGGTAACTAAGTCACTCAGTCGACGTACTAGTTATACGACAAAAGTTATCCATATAACCTATTTAGGTATATACTATGTTTATCGTTGCTTTTACTTATATAATCTATTACAATAGATCTAATAAACATATCTTGAATACTTTATTATACGTTAGTTAAACGTGTGAAGGCTGTGGGTAGATCTTTAGAGTCATAAAAACAAGGAATGGCAACGTGCTTATTAGCAGTTAAAGAAATAATGCGATATTAGTTTAGAAGAGGAAAATTATTATCGAACGCGGTCAAGTGTAACTTCTATAATACACAAATGTAAACACTTAGAGAGTAGTACTGGAATATAAACAACTAATTTATGTTGCTTAATGTAAAGTCAAAACGGAACGGTTTTTTTACCGTCTTCTACTTTTTTCTATTAATTCATTTTCAAAGCTAAAACTTGGACCAGATAAATCTTTTGTCACATGCATATAATAACATAATAATTTAGTAATGTCCTCTCGACCTATTTCGGCCTCGGCGCGGCGACCAATCTCATTGAGATTAAAGTCATCTGCGCAGGAGATATTACCTATAGTGCAGCGCGTGTACGCGCAGACACAAGTGCACTCTCTATTCCTGTCATTCTCATACTCCGGTGGGATGAATACTCAACTCGACCAGTGAGAGTTAAAGGCTTTACGTGCTCTCCGAGGCACGGGGTGAAACACCACCAATTTGCCAACTCCAAGCTGTTACTGAGGCTTACTAAACAGAAAGTTCAATAACTAAATTTGGTCCGACCCGGGACTCGAACCCAGAACCTCCAGATGAACAGCCGTACTTCTTCTTCTTCTTCTTCCTGCCCATTTCCCAAATTACTTGGGGTCGGCGCAGTACGTCTACCATACTGCTGATCGGTTTTGGCAAAAGTTTTACGACCGGCCGCCTGCCTGACATCAACCCTCTTTGGGAATGCTTTTGTTTACCAACGTCGTGCAGAAACCCGAGGTGCGATAACCAGCACCATATCGTCTTCTACGACACTTGCAGTGCTTATTTTAATTTTATTTGCCGCGTCGTTTCAATATCCAATTTAGAGTTAATTTTGATAAATATGTAATCATTCAATTTCATGTCAAACCATAATGTGCACCAAAATTCAGCATTTTTTTCACTACTTTCACTGACATAGCCAATTGCTTACGTTATTCATAACTTAATACTTGAAGAGCTCTTAAATTTATTTCTTTAAATGACACACACATATTGTTCCCATAATGTTTATTTTTTCCAAAACGTATTCATTGTTGGTCTCTTGAACCTGAGAATCTTTTAAGGCATTTCAATAGTCTTCTTAAAAGATCAAAGTTTATTTTACTTTATAATTTTTAATAAATTTTAACACATTTTTATTTTGACATTTTAACATTTTTTTTAACAGCCGTACATGCTAGTTAATACACCACCGAGGCAGTTTATATATGCACCTACTATAAGTGAAAAATCCCGTTACTATTAAAAACTATCTTTTCTGGTTTTTGGTTGATGGTGATTTTTGGTTCCCGGCGTTCAAAATAAATTACGAAAAAATCCGAAAAGATAGTATTATTTTTAAATGTCAAATATTCGCGTAAATATACAAAAGGATGCTATTACTATACTATTAAAATATTTAAAAATATCTGTATTATTCACAGGTAATCGTTTTATGATATCGGCTAGTAACCCAACATTGAATAAGCCGGCAACAGCGGGTGGTGGAAGTATGAAGATTGCCAACGAAGTCATAGAAGAAGTAGATGAACAAACCACTATCACTAGCATGGGAAAACGGCCGGAAGTTAGGTAAGTAGTATATTTAACAGTTCATATTTTATTAATTTAAATAATAAAACCGGGAATTACTGAAAAAAATATGATTTGTTAAAGTAATTTACGCAAAATGGTTTTCCCTGAACACTTGATGGAATTATTTTTCTAGGAAAGTAATTACCTTAAAGACTTGGCAAATATTAAATAGCGCATTTGACCATTAAACTACTTGTCTCACAATAAATAGGTAAACTATAATTTAAATATATCACATATATACATTTAGTTATAATTTTGTTACACTTTTTCGTATTTTGCTTTATTTAAAAAAAAATGTTAATTAATGTTTGGAATATAAAAGTAGCCAAGTTTTTTTTATTTATTTTGTTGAAGTTTGAATTATTTGAACGCGCAACACTCGAAATCGAATGTAGGGTTTTAATTTTCTTTATTCTTTAGCCAAGTTTATCTTAATCAAAAGTATTTTTTTGTTTGCCAGACATAAAAACAAGATTTTAATTATTTAATAGATATATCTCCACTGCCCAGTCAATGAAAAGAGCACTTTTAATATCAAATATTATAGGGGGTGTTAATTCTATCATGAAGTAACAAATTATAAGTTTTACTAAACATTAAGGAGTACTTAAATCAAATATTTTTAAATGAAATAAATGAATATAGACTACCTATAGTAATATCTACAGTCTACACTACAACAAGAGAATATCAGTTTGAAGCAATATAAAAGTGTAGACGATTTTTAATTAGATCCGTCTGTTATGTAATCTGCTGTGTCATGTGTGTGAGTAGGTACTATGAGAGCGAGCTTCGAATTGCACAAATAAGTTACGACTACCAATCTCACGGTTAAAGTGTGCCGATGAAATGATTGAATGATGAAAAATTGGAAGCAAAAGAAATAAAACTCAAATATTTGTATATCACAGTATTCTATACATATAATAAAATTGTAACTAAGCCGAATCTGTACATTAAATTTTTTTGGAAAATCTTATTGAATTAAACATTATTATCGATACAGAGGCCGAATGTATAGTTTTTAGATTTTTTGTCTGTCTGTTACCGCATCACAGAAAAACCGCTGGAGGGATTTCAATAAAATTTGGTATGGTGATAGCTGGTTATCCGGGTCAACATATAGGATACTTTGTACCGCGGGAAAATATCTCATTTCGTAGAAAAAATACAAAAACTGCAATGTAAGACTCAAGAGTATACTAATATGTAAAACCTAAGAATTTAGTTTTGGTCATCTGAACGCGGGCCGAGCCGCGGGCAATGCTAGTACAAAATATCTAAAAAAATATCAGCGTGATAATGTACGTGAAATTTATAAAGAGTAGTTATTATGTAACATAACATGTAGGTGGTAATCTCTGAAACTACTACTACTGATCTATTCGTTAAAAAATTCTGAAAAGTTTTCGAAAGTCGTGAAGTCCACCAACTCGCACTTCGACGACGTAGTGGAATATGGCTTGATCCCTCTCTCATAGAGAGGAGAACCGTGCCCAGCAATGGAACGTTAAAAGAGGCAAATATAATATATATACATATATTCTTTATTGCACTAAAAAAGTAATAAAAAAAAATACATAGAAAATGATGTGGACAAAGGTGGACTTATCTCTATAAGAGATTTCTTCCAGTCAACCCATGTATGTGGGAAATAGTGTTAAGTAGCAGTAAATATATATAAATATATATGTTCATATGTTCTTCCTCAACATGGATTTTCCCATTTTGTACTTGATTATGAAATAAATAATTTCAGTGACAAACAACAATTATTATGTATATTGCATGGCGTCATAATTCGAACTATACGATGACATAAACCGGTCATAATCACAAACGCTTTGAATAGCTCCGATTTACATTTACTGATTATCATAAACGTTAATGTCGCTACGAACTTCCGTTTTTGCTCTATACTGATCACATTTGATATTTGTTGTTTTTACACTGGTATTTTACCATAAAATCTCAAACTATGAACAATGGTTTGTTTCTATTTGATGTAAACTTTTTAAAATTTAACGTTTCAATTATTCGACCGTAATCTATACATATAATAAAATAGTAACTGTGCCGAATCTGTACATTAAATATTTTTTGGAAAATCTTATTGAAATAGACATTATTATCGATACAGAAGCCGAATCTATAGTGTTTAGAATTTTTGTCTGTCTGTTACCGCATCGCAGAAAAACCACTGGAGGGATTTTGATGAAATTTGATGTGGTGATAGCTGGTTATCTGGGTCAACATATGGGTACTTTTTACCGCGGGAAAATATAAAAATTTGCTTTTTGGTCATCTGAACGCGGGCGGAGCCGCGGGGCAATGCTAGTATCTACATAAAATAGTACATTTTTATAAGTCGAACGATTTCATTTTTAGATAAATATTTAAAGTAGGTAAATACTGTCTATGTTAAATGTCTGCGAAAACAATTTAATGAATGTTAAGAAAAACATCTGTTCACATCTATTACTGTCATTTGTTCAACTACGGATGCTTCGCGCGATTAGGAATATTACATAATCAATATAATATCCACATATTTTCATCAAAGAATTTACGTGCATTTTCTGCGACTTTGAATTATTTATTTAATTAAATTTTGGATGCCGTCTTTTACATGTAGGATCTACAGATGCAAGAATTTTGTTGCAATCATATGAGAATCTAAACAATTTTAAACTTAATCTTTATTAATCGGTGTTAAAATAGAAAGTCTTAAACAAGATTTTTTTAAATAATATTATTATCATTCTCTGAGGCGGAGGACGCGCGTTTGTTTGTTTTGTATTGGTCTTGCCTCTTTCGAGTTTGAAAGTTTGAAATTCGAGAGTGAACATTTATCACTTTGTTGAGTAATTTATTACTTTAGTGATTAACACTTAACAAGCATTGTTATCATTAAACATCTTAATGTGTACATTTTAATTAATTACACATTCAGCTATATTATTTCATCTACGAAAGTCAATTTCATTATAATTATATGCCCCTCCTGAATAAATATAATTAAAAAGCAGTGAGTGAGGCGTTGTCCTGCGTCATATCGTGACTATTTGAAACAATGACCGAAAGAAAGAAAACAAAAGGGCATTCATGTCATATTATATTAAACTAGCATTGCCCGCGGCTCCGCCCGCGTTCAGATGACCAAAAAGCAAATTCTTAAGTTTTACATATTATTATACTCTTACAATGCAGTTTTTCTATTTTTTCTCAGAAATGAGATATTTTCCTGCGGTCAAAAGTATTCTATATGTTGACCCGGATAACCAGCTATCACCATATCAAATTTAATCAAAATCCCTTCAGTGGTTTTTCCGTGATGCGGTAACAGACAGACAGACAAACAAACATTCTAAAAACTATAGATTTGGCCTCTGTATCAATAATAATGTCTATTTCAATAAGATTTTCCAAAAAATAATTAATGTACAGATTAGACTTAGTTAGAATTTTATTATATGTATAGATTAGAAAGGATTCCAAGACTTGTAGATGTGCTAAATTAAAGAATGAGATGAACATTAAAAAAAGAAACAACATACCAACTGCGGGAACAAAGACTCATAAATAGACATAAATATTGTAATATACAATTTTAGATTTTAATTATTTAATCTTCTGACTTCTAATAAAACTATTTTAAAAATGCAACACAATAAGAGAGTTAAGAGTTATAAATATTGCTCAATTGTTGTTATTTTACATCGTTCGTAGATACTGATACACGCATAGATAGAAACGATAAATAAAAAGCGCGATAAATTTGTTTGTATATGGTTGTTTGGCGTCGGTATTACCCTTAAAAGGTTTTATTCTATCAGCGTGTGCTAAAAACCTTGAAGACTGAACTGCTTACATTAGTTTTTTCTGCGCGGTCAACAAACTTCGTAGTATTTATGTGATTATTGAAAGTTGTACTTAGGCATCGTAAAATATCCTACAACTCAGTAGTAACGAAGTAGTGGTATATGTTTATACATGTTTTTTTTATGTTAATTTTCAGACCGACAGCTATGAGTTTGTTCGCGCAGGGACCGCTCACACCAAGTGACCCCTTAAATGTGCCTTCGAGGAATTCTAATCACAGTTCCAGTAAGCTATTTTCTACTTTTACTACCTTAAAATAATACATATAACTACCTTAAAATAATACATATAACTAATTTTTGGTGGTAATGCTGTGAGATTGGTTTTTTATTACTAGGCAACAAATAGTGCAAACAAAGAGTATCTATATATTTACAAATATTATGTATTTCTAGGGGTAGGTCTACATCTGAACAATTATATGCTTTGTTAACTAATTTTATTGTATGTTAATTACTGTATATCAATTAAGTGCAATAATATGTTGTACACGTCTTCTCATACATAAAAATGACGTATTCTCTAAATTCAAAGAAAAATAAAAGATCAAAGAAATAATGCGAACGCATTTTTTCCATTGTACTTAATAAATAACAATGAAAATAATGTTACAGCTGTAGTGTGAGTGATCACGCAAATGGCAGCCTGGTTTCCGAGAGTAATTAAAACGATTAATACGCGTCACATAATTGAAATTTATTCTCATTTTGCGATTCTAAAAGATAAGATATAAAACTTCTTTTGCCTAACACCCCCGTGTCTTGTATGATAAGTAGGCACATGACGTAAGTGTAAACTACATACAAGATACAGTTGATATGAGATGTGAAGTATGCGTAGGTTTTCGGAAGATTAGATCATAAAAGAAATAATGCTACACTTGTACATACAAAGGAATTTGCTCTTTGATGCATAGAAGTTTAAAAAAAAATTTATTCTAGTGTTAGAGTTGTCTTTGTATAGAAGGTCGGTAATTGGCATGCGTGTTGGATGACGATCGACTTGCAAATTACGTTACATGAGAAGAATTAGTCATCGACACACATTTTATGGAACAAAATGTTAATTTCTTTGATTTTTAATCTCATAAAAGTTCTTCATTCTTAGTAAAAGCACTCGTACACGTTAAGAATTTATCGATTGTTGTTAAAAGTTGGTGCCATTATAAACCGTGTGGATGTTAATGACATCGGTGGGGCCGTTGACCTAAGTGTTAGTAGAAGTTTTTTTCACGCACTTATTTTAGTAAGTTAGTTCTAAGTGTGACTGAATGTTTTATATTAAGGTCAAGTTATGTATTTTAAAATACAATAATACAATCATAGGACTGTTGAGATTACAAAGATTTCAATTTATTTACAAGGATTATTTTAAAGTTTTGACCGTATAATGGCGCTTAATGATAAGTACATAAATAAATATTTATTTAAGCTTACTAAATAATAAACTAAATATACATGAATATTTTCAAATTTTAATGATTTAGTGTTATCAGTTGTCAAAAAGATCTTTTTACTTTTTAAGATTCTTTGACTTAAAATAAAAAAATTTACAAAGCAAAAAATCAAAAGCTAGTAGGTAATAATATAACGGAATTGTTAATATTTAAACAAGATTTCAAAGAACTACAGTTTTATTAGATCAATTTGCAACTAACAATAAGTACTAACTAACAATGTAATCAGATCTTGGAAGTTTATTTTGACCTATTTCTAAGTGTAGTGTCGACTTGAAACTTTGTGTGTATATGAAATTATCTACACAAATAAATGAAATTGAAGTGTCTGTTTGTAATATAACAACTTTTTACTAAATGTATATGAAATTATATCAGATAGGTACTTATAATAAAATTTTTAAAATTTTTGTCTGTCTGTCTTTTCCGGCTAATCTCCGAAATGACTGGAAAGATTTTGATGAAGTTTTCAATGGCAGATAGATGATGTTATAAGGAGTAACTAGGTTACTTTACGCTCAAAAATATTAAAACGTAATTAGTGACGCACCCGAGCGAAGCGAAGATAAGACACTTGTAATACAAGCATTTTTTTATATTTTGATACCATCGAGTTGATCTGATCATGAATAGGAGGTGAATAATAATACACTTAAACGGCTAGTAGTAAAACCTTAGAATGAAGAAAATTATTTGACGAGACTTTATTTTCATCGACTAACGATCAAAGGCGTGTATTTTTAGATTTTTTAAAACTATCTTTATCTTAATTCAGAAGACACCCGACTATCAACATCTGCGCCATCATCACAATGGATACGATCTGGCGAGAACGATGTAGACGGTGACCTCAGTCCTACTGCCAAATCCTTTAGTACTCAGGCGTCGTTTCCTAACATGCAACGGCCACGCCTAGACAGCGATGTGGGGCCTTCGTTGAGTGCAGCGGGCAGTCAGACTTTGAGTAAGTCTTTTTGGAATATAATATATAGTTTTAATATGTTCATTTATGCAGTGTTAGCCAATCCCAATGGGGATCTTTTGATTAGGCAGTCAGAGTAAAGCTGGTGCATGGTGCTGGTGCTCTCGCATGATAACTCGCATTTCGCTACACAAATGTCATTCACTAACACGCTAAAAGAAGTCTTGATTATATAATAATTCTTTTAGCATTTCCTCACTATCTCAAGTCAGATAGTGAGGAAAATTACATGTGTGAGTAATAAAATAACTTAAATTGGCTTTTTGAAAGACGTGTAGAGGCCGCTTGCGCCCATTTAGCCTACGTGTTGTAGGTTGTTTCCTACGCCTTATCTAACGTTCATTACTATATCCAGGCTATATAGTCCATATTGTAGGTATTAGTGTAATGACTACTGGTCCAGGGTTCGAGGAGGGGTTCGGCTAATTATAGTTATTGTGTTTTAATCTCAAGAAATTCGCTATATCACCCAAGAGTTGGAAAGTGGCGTATTATACCGACGTGCCTCGGAGAGTATCGAATTCTCGTCCCACCGGTCTTTGAAAGTAAACCAATAGAGTATGATAAACAATAAGGATTGTGTAAAATGTACACTATAATATCTTCTATATTATAATATCTTAAAGGCGCCGTGGCCGAAATTGGTTATAAAGACTTTACTTACTATCTACAGTGCATTATCTTAATCCATTACATTCGGAAACGATGCCTTCCAACTGTATTTTGTTTTTATTTTAGATTTCATGCATAAACAATCATTTATAAAACCTGACCTACCTACAAAAATATTTCACGTGAAACATGATGTCGACGTTATGTAAAGTATTTTGGTCAAATGATGTGTTTGTTATCAATAAAATAAAACACCACTATCAGTCAATCTAGCTTATCTTAACCATCACAGGTTATCAAGTGATTAATTTATCTGGTTGCTCATATTTATTTTTGAAATAAACTAAGTATTTCACATTGTAACAATGGAAATTTATTTGATAATGTACCTACCATTAACTCTTGACTATTAAACTAAAACTCTATGAAAGGTAGACTTTTTAATGGCAAGGCATTACAGTAGGTTTATCTATACTATAATAAAAGAGTAGAGGTCGAATGTCTGTACATAGCAAAAAAATGCTAAAAACCGAGTCAGGGGGATGTAAGAAGACAAATAGAACAAATCCAGATTTTTTTCATTTTTTTTGTTTCTCTGTCTGTTTGTACGGGCTAATCTCCGAATCTATTCGACCTTATACCCCTGGGCAACATCTTAGATACTTTTTATCCCGGAAAATTAAATAGTTCCCGTGGGATAGTTAAAAAACTATAATAACTTATACAAATTATGCACCTAATTTAGTAAAATTTAACATTCTGATACCTTATATTACCGGTCAAACAACAGGTTACTTTTCATCCGGGAAAAATGAACGGTTCCCGTGGGAACTAATAGATCTCTATTAGTGTTTTATTATATTAAATTCATATATGTGGATAAATATCAATCTTTTATAATTATTCGGATAAGTTTCGAGTGTTTCGTCCCACCGGAGTATGAGAGTGACAGGAATAGAGAGTGCACTTGTGTCTGCACGTACACTTGTGTTCTATATAATATATATTATAATATCTCCTGCACAGACGGCTTATCTCAGTGATTCTAGCTGCCGTGGCTAAAATACAAGGAGGACGTTTTTATTATCATTAATAATAATACTTTCAAAGCTTGATATTAATGAATTGGTCGATTGATGACAGTGGACGAAGTGGACGGCGCCGAGGACGCGGACACGGACGACTTCGACCGCCTGCGCAACATCCGCGAGCAGCACCGCCGCGAGAAGTACTTGCAGAAGCTCATGGCGCGCTCCGTCAGCGCGCAGCAGGTATTATGTCCATTTGTTGTATACGAAATATGGGTTACATTTTTATTTCATACTAGCAGAACCCGCGGCTTCGCTCGCACTAAAAATCTGATAATATTGTTTTATTTATTACTTTATGGGTAGGTTTCATAGAAAATGTCAACCTCTATTATATCCCCTTAAAGAATGAATTTTGAAAAATGCTTAAACGCATAATTATTTAATTGTATTGAAGAGCATTAATATCAAGTTTCAAGTAATTCTGATCATAAATATTGTTTTGACGTGAAAGAAGGACAGACAAACAAACACACTTTCACATTTATAATATTAGTATGGATTTTAGGCAATGCCTAACAATGGCCGATAACGTAACTTAACGACCATTTCAAGTCAAGTAGGGAGATTTCATTAAAATTATTATGATTACTGATAGTAAACACATTTTTATCGGAATAATTATAGCTTATTAGTGATCGAATTTTCAGTATCGAATATGAGTAGTATCAGAGATTACGGATTACCCCCATGTACAAACTTTATTTCTTTATAATATTAGTGTATACTAGTTTTTCCCACGGCTCCGCCCGCCTAGTTCAATTATGTATTTCCCTCTGTTTATACTATCTGTTACTCTGATGTATAATAAGCTATTGTATATTGTAATTTATTTATGAAAATCCTTTCAGTAGTATTTGTGTGAAAAAGTAATAAACATCCATACGTCTTTACAAACTTTCGCTTTTATAATATTAGTAGGATTACGATTTTAAGATAGTTTGTCTTTTAGAATTCAATCTATCGAATTTGAATAAATTATTATTTTGTAGTAATTGCCCAAAATATAGTAGGTAATAACTATACCATGTATTTATTTAGGTAGGATTTTTCAATTCAATTTTCAGCCTAAATAAATGACATTAACAAATTAAATATTGTTAATAATAACAGAACACCATATAAATTCAATTAAAGCTTACTAAAGTTAATAAGTTGCAATCGAACCCAAATATACAATTTTTCTTTTTTGGTTTCTCATTAGACTAAAAGGTTCGACATAAATATTATTTTTTTGTATTTTTTTTCTTTCAGCCTACCGGCAGTGGAGATTTGATAGATAACGATTTGTTAATAGAGGAACTTATTAAACAATCGAAACAGACCAAAGGAGAAGACTCGAAAGATGATACAACTTGACAAAGCTTTATATTTTCCTGGGATTAAGTTTAACGTCTCGGATTAGTCAGTATTAAATTGTGATACTTATATATTTTACTATAAGTACTGCTTGGTGAATCATGTTACTTTGATGTTATTTATGTATATAGATGACGAAGTAAGAATTAAATTATTACAATATTATTATTTTGTATTATTTCATAATATATGGAATCACGTCTAACGTCCTGGTCACAGATCCTTCGAACGGTGAAAGACTAAATAATTAAATATTATGGAAATTTAATATAGATGCAGTAAAAGAATTGATATGTATACAAAACTCAAGATAATAAGTGTCCTCAAAAAAGAACGTACATGTGGACATTGTGCGCTCTTTCTAAATACTCTCGAATTGTGTGAGCAGGGAGCTACATACGGACGACGGAGAGCCGACGTCCGAAATGTCAAAATTTTCGTTACAAAAAATTTAAAATGTTAAAAATTAAAATTCAGAACCTTAAAAAATCATGCAATATCTTATCTTCAATAAATAAAAATGTTTATTGATAATATGTTTTTGTAATATTATAAACAAATTAAAACGCGGACTATTGCATTTATATTTAATTTCTTTTTTAATTCGCTTTATTTTTGGTCGCTTATTTAATATATATATATATATATATATATATATATATATATATATATATATATATATATATATTCCTTTTAAGCATTAGATGCGCTAAATGTTTAGATAAATTTAAAAGCTTGTTAAAGTATTACTATCCTCTCTTTATGCCTTTTTCCTTTCTCTCTAAATAGTCCTAATATTATTATTATTTTTTACTATATTATGTTTCTAGTATTTCCATACATTATTTGGTTCATTTCTTTATTTTATGTGTGTGTTGTGTAAATTTACGTATATATTTATTTATCTATAAGTATTTATATGAAAACGTGTCAAAGCAAGTAGGTACACCGTCTACCGTTTTATAAAATCTTACTCCTCCACCTCAAGGTAGTCACCTTAAAGTTGCCTGGAAGAGATTGCTTCCAGCAATAAGGCCGCCTGCTGTGCATATTTTCTTTGATTTTTCGTATGTTTAGGTTTCTTTTTTTTTGGTGTACAATAAAGAATATTATTATTAATGAGTTAGATTTTTACCTTAAAATAATTTTATAATATTTAGTATCGAAAGCCATTACAATGAATTTAATACCTACTCGTTCCTAATGATAATAGCATTTTTTTTACAGAAATATCAAATTTCATTCTTTTTTAGAAAATAAAATAAATATAACGAGTCTATATATTTTGTATTATCCCGACTACCGAAGATCACAATCGATTCACACAATCAGACTTCGACTTTCCCAGTTGCATGTAGAGCCCTATTTTTTATTATTCGACTGAATAAACATCTATACTCTATTCGCCGAACGAACCAAGCACTGAGATTTTGCGCTTCACGTGATTAGTTGCAGATAAGACGCTTAGGCCGCGATTACAATGCATTATTCAAGTTATAAAATTAGTCAGTCGTTGTATTCCGTACCGTTCAGACGTCTCTCGTATAGTTATCTGATTTATTATTAATGTAGCAGATGACAGTGATACTTCGGAAAGCAGAAATTAATAAATAATGTATTATGTATACAAATATTTAAAAATACAGTTAATTTTACTGTAATGTTGATTTTATTTTATTAACAATTATTAATAATTCCTTACTAAAGCATTAGCAACATGAACGAGCCCTATGATTTCAAACCAGTTGCAAGTGTTAGTGGGCGGAGCTAGTTTTGTCCTTATCAGTTTGTATGCTAATGTGGGATAGAGAAAGCGCTTTCCATGGTTCACTCTGTGAATAGAGTATAGCAGTTTATTACATATGGAAGGTGTCTCACACCTAACAAATTCCAACAAGTCTTCGTATATAATGGATGTGATATACAGTATTATCAACATTATTAAGGTTCTTTTTAAGACTTTTGGTTACTTACTTTAAAAAGAAATACAGTAGTTTTTCATCCTATTAAAGCAGATAGATTTATAACAAATCAAATGCTCAAATCTAATATATATTCTCAATAAATCTATATCGGGTTTTATGAGTGAATTTAAATTTGCAAAAACTAAATTAGAGGCACTGCCGTCAATAAGTAACTTTAATAATTAAGAACAATTTTTAAATGAGGTACTATATTAATATCACACAGGAAATAGCTATGTGAATATAGCAATAGATTTGTTTGATATAATTTAATTGACATTGGTTAACTATGTATTTGTAATTTTAAAAAAGTTGCAGAACAAAAGTAATATGTACTTATACAATTTTAATTAAAAGTGCTATAGAAAAAAAAAGAGTTCAGTAAGGTTTTAAAGTTTTTATTCACTTAAGACATACAGGACATTAAGCTTACAACTTGAGCTTAGTTCTCCTCCAGTGACGCCTCTTAGCGTTGTACCTGTAATAAAATAAAAAATCGTTTAAAAAATTTGTATTAAAATCAACTATTTTTTAGTAGAATTATTACCAATAAAGAAGATACAAAAATATGATCCTAAAATCCATAGTGCATTGATTATATGTGAATGTGGCACATTTATTATTTCCTTCGTATTATTAAAACAAATACACGTTTTGAAAATGTAAAGTGTATACGTTATAGAAAACGTAGTTTTGTTATTCCTTCCTTATCTCCTATAACTTCCTTGAAAAATTTACGTCGCACTAAGGGTTTATTTTGTTTCTTAGAGATCATTTTGGATTTTTTTCAATAGAGGAAATTACAAGTAATCGTGTTTTCTAAAGTTTATACATTATTATAGAATAAATGCTTAAAATATATCCTACATATTAATTGCATAGTTAAAATTTTAGTAATAACAATACAGCAAGGGACCAAACGAACGCAATTATTTTGTAATTAGGTACCTACGTTTCACTACCTCAGTGCGCCCTTTTATTGAACATACATACATTCATATATTTTTTTCCCCTTTTATTGAACATATATACACACATATATACATTCTTTTATTGAATTTTATACTTTGATTATAAATAAATAATTAGAATATTTGATATTGTTAAAATACATTTTTTTTTCACAATTAAGCACTATTATATAGAACCAAAGATTACACACACTAGTTTACAAATTTACCTATTTCATATACCCCGCAAGAAATTTATATTCATTCGTTAAACTAGCTCTCATAAATATGAAAATGTTAACAGAAATATTCTATCACGTCACATTTTATTTTCTATTGTTAAAGCATTTTTTTCAATTATTACATTATCACTTACATAATGGCATTAGTTTAATGTTTATTTATTCGATTCCAATAAGAAATAGCTTGTTACAAATTTAATTGAAATATTGATTAGAAACTGTAAACTAAGCTCTGATTCTTTTTGCTATCTTTGTACATAGTTTATATTTTCAAAAAAGGGATATCCTCAGTATATCCATTAAAATCTGGTTATTTTCATGATTTCAGATTTCTTGTTGCGAATCAAGATAAAAACTAGGTAGGTAGAGACAACTTATACCTTCCACTTGTTCACCAATATTACATAGAGAATCAAGTGATCAGGGAAGTGACTCTTACTATTATCACAGATCCCATAATACTATATGTTACGAAGACTAAGGTTATAGAGTATAAATCTGCTACTACTCTCTAGCTCTACCACTAATCCAGTTTTACATTTGAAGGATCTTCCATATCTAATGTCCCCGGTAGTTCAAGTCAAAATATACTAGAAGAATGAAATTGATGTCAAGGTTAAATCAGATAAATACAAAAACTCTTTCCAGTATTACAGTAGTAAAACTAAAAGAAGGAATAATTTGATAGTCCACAGATCATCAGATCCCAGAATTCATAAAAAAAAACAGTTTTAAAACTATCTTCTGTTTAAGAATTTTTGGGCATTAATAAAAATATACCAAAAAGTTTTCAACAAATGGGGGTGAACATGTCATTAAAAATTCATTTCCTGCATTTGCATTTATGCTGTTTGCCTAAAATTAAGGCAGTATGTATGATAAAGATCAGGAACATTTTTGCTTAAATTTAAAAATTATCTTCATAAGACATCAAGGATTTTTAGTACTTTTGTATTGTTGATCGCTTGAAGGGTCGCTGATACGCAGACATGTCAGTTAACAATTGATTTCCCGGAAGCTAGCCACATAGGTGCTATTTTTTTTTTCATTTTTATTAAATAATATATTTCTATTAATTTTTCTATGACTAGACATGATAGAATTTTTTATTTATTCTTTCTGAATAACCTATTCTAAAATAAAAAATAATTACAAACTTTTAGCTGGGGTATAAAAATCGTATAAACTAGTATTATAGTCTAACAAATAAAAAGGAGTGTTAAGGGCCATAGGAATCTTTTATTAGTAAAATAAGTTTATTCAAAATGATATTGGTTGTAAGCACCTTAAATTGGATTTAAAGTTAAAGATTAATAAAATATAATGTAACTGGTTCAATTTCATATCAACATTTTTCTATTGAAATAGCATTATTAATTACCATAGTGGTAATTTATGGTCAAGGATGTGGCACATGATGTATTATAGGACACAGGAAAATTTCATTGAAGTCCACGAAAATTAATGTGTAATGATCAAGACAAAATATTGAAAAATAAACATTGTAATATTTGCTATCAAGCACTCCACTTTATTCCACAAATAATATTATTAACTCAGAATTGAGATAATACATGCACTGAATACACTTTATGTTTAAGATCTATTGATAGAAATTAAAAAGTATTTTATAAAGCATTTCAGCTCATCAAAAAGCAATTCAATTCTTTATTTAATGGCTTGAATGCATGCCAGTTTAACACATAAATACAAAAAAAAGTAAGTACTTATGTGTTTACAAAACTAATTATTAGACTAATTAAAAATAGATTTTTGACACAATATTTCATTAGCCTATAAATTATTAATCACATTTCCATTCAAATAAAAATAAAGGCACA